TGTAATATTCATTCACGCTCACTTTCTACGGGCAGTGCGTGACCCGCAGTCGACTCGCCAACGGCTCCGCCCACAACCCCCCCCCCTCCTTTCCGTCTTCCTTTACTCTCTCTCTCTCCCTCTCCCTCTCCCTCTCTCTCTCTCTCTCTCTCTCTCTCTCTCTCTCTCTCTTTCTTTTCCAGGCGTCTCAACGTGCGCAGAAGTTCGGCGTAATGAATGCTTGGGCTGGATACTGAATCGTGTCTAGCTCAGTGGCGTGCGAGATCCTTTGTTTCCCGACGATGAAAGCTGGAGAATGACACCTGGGTTGATTTTCTATTGCTGTAGGTCGGCTTTTGAAGATGAGGGCGGGAAAGGTCACTGGAATGGGGTCAAGGTCATCGAGGTTCTACCACAAATAGTGGTGACCCACAAGAAGATTTCTCCTTAACCCTCGCCGGCCGAGGGGGGGGGGCGGTTGCCGCCCCCCCATAGGGTCTTTTCGCGATAGCTCCGAACACGCTGGCGATAGAGAGCTGAAACTTGGCATACCTGACCTTTGATCCAAGCCGCATCTTTTGACACCAACCGCATTTTTGGGTCAGGTCAGGTCACTGACCTATGACGTCATAAGTGAACCTCTGCACGGTCTTCAGATGTCGCAACTTCGCAACGCCCTCACTGCCAGAGGAGATGTCACAGGGAAATGAAACTTGCAGGATCTAGTATCCATTATGAGTTTCACAACTTGTATATCTCGGATTTTTCCTAAAGGTCATATGAGGTCAGGTCATTTTCGTGACATTATAAGTCAATGGGGAAAAATGAAAACCGCTATTCTGGCGCCGGGAACGATCTCCAACTATCTCAAGCACACAGAATCGTGATTTGATGCACTCCTTGCAAGGTTAGATGCGTCACTTTTGCAATGTTGACCTTCCGTGACGTCATTTATGACGTCATCAAGGTCATATTAGTTTTTCGTCAATAACTCCCGACCAAATTGAGCTAGCGAGTCGAGAAAGCCACCAATGGACTCAGGAATACCTGCCGAATCGAATGATATGCGATATGACCTCTTTCGACCAACTTCGTGACCTGGGGGTGCTGACCTGACCTTGACCTGAGGTCAACACCCTAAGTTGACCTGACCCGAACAAAAAGTATATCATTCGACGCGCCTGAGCGAGGCGAACACGATGCTGCCAAAATCGCGGCTCTGCGGCCGTTTTTTGCGAAGTTATTCACCAAAAACTGAACCATACCCTTGGGCACTTGACCTGACCTCAGAGATCACCGGTTGACCTAGGACCTTAAAATCGGGTACCAATCTCTGCGTCTCGTAACGGCGCACACGCTCGTTTTTTCCGCGACGCGCTAGCTCCACCAGGGGCGAAACGGCGAGGGGGGGTCGTACCCGCCCCCCCCCCCCCTCGGCCGGCGCGTATGTAGAAAACCAATAGGTCCGGCGAGGGTTAAATGAAGATATTTTCACACCAATCGATCTCACTAGGTGCTGGTTTGCGTTTCAATGATCTTACGACGTTATTTTTAATGGTTGGTCAGTGGCCACGTTCCGGAATTCAAATCCCATAATATATGGGCCATATATCATGAGATAAAGGCGCATTTCTATTTTGAGACATGCCTATTTGTCAATTCTCGTTAACAACGTGTTGCATTCAAAAAGCGTTGGTGGGTGTGTATATTTTTGAAGGGCACAATAATTATTCTGAAGTTATTACTTCATGTCAAGAACATGCTAATTGGCTAATCATCCCGTTTCCATGTCAGTAAGCAGTACCTTGCGTGACTCCTTTTGGAGACCATTTGGAGCCATTTCACGCCCCTGTCGTCCCATAACACGCCTCCCCGTCCTGCCTACACCGTAGTACTACACACCGCGAGTTTTCTCTCGTCGCCATCAACCGCCAGCGTTAACGACTCGGCACCAATCATCGCTCATCATAGCACATTAGCACAGCCGTATCGTAACCCGGGGTCGAGGGTCGACCGAAAGCGAGTGCGACCTTTGCGTCCTTCCCCGGCACCGGAGCTAGAAAACTCTCTTGACTCAGTAGAGATTTTAGCGCTGCTGTGATAACCTAAGGCGTGTTTGAAGACTGGTCACAGGTCAACAAACGGTGGGGCTAATGAGGTAATTAGCGAGACTTTGGTGGACAATTAAAGACACTAAAGAGCGTCAAAAGATGTGAACAGGCTATAATATATTCTGGGATAGCACTGGTGACTGCTCGGTGCTCGCATCCGTTTCGTTTCGATTTTTTTGCATCGTTTCAGATTAACGGAGGTACTGTTATTAATCTGCTCGATAAAACAAAATTTATCAGTAAAACTAGTACAAATAATATGGTCCTTACATCTGAAGCTTGCTACTGAGCGAAAAGAAAAACCTTTACAAACTTACGGCTGTAATCATTCTCCTACTGAAAATAAGCGTGCAGTGTGCACTGGTCCGGTAAAATGCGCTCGTGCACGGCACTCGCCAGCAGCCCGTTCAACATCACCTCTCCTCTCGCCCACCCCTGGCCCCCTCCCCCGACTAGGAGCACTTTCACGGTCTGTAGCCTTGGTCAAATGCTAACCGCCCGGTTAGGCCCACTGTAAAATACTTGCGATAAGATCTGAACGGACTTTTTGTGTTGCCTCTGAGGCGAAGCAGATGTAAACAGACAAAGCTATCGAGCCCAAGGAAGACCGGTCAGCGGGGGTGGGCGAAGGGAATATCAGTGGGCCTATGGTAGGACCCGCCTTGTTTGAGATGTTATGAAGAAGGTCCCTAATCAACTCATCTTGATAAGCGTAAGTTGTCGAAATAAACAGCCTAATCACATGGAATTATCGTGCTTCTATTCAAACACAAAGAAGCTGGTGCTATACACTTCTTAGGAACTTTTCATACCGTCTTCGATAGTTATAAGAAACGTTTGTGGAGATATTATAGTCCCCACATATTGCCACCACATGGGACGATATATATTTCGTATAAGCTAACTTGAGAATAATAAGAAACTGGCTGCCCCATGTTACATCCACCACGGTGGATTTTCGTGGAGCCTTTTCTCTTTCTTTTTTCTTCTTTTTTTACGTAAGGCGATCCTTGTGAGGGATTCCCCGTACGCAGCAATGAGTCACAACCTATAAGAGTCGGCAGGTGGACGGGAATTCCCCCGAACTACCCGTCTTTTGCTTTAGACAGGCAATGGCGTGCGAAAAAATGAGTCACATTTGACTAAAACGATCACCGGACGAACACCGTATCCTTCAGGCACGCAATATTGAGGTTAACGCTTTCACATAAGTCGCCGGATGTATAGATAAAACAGCGCGTACAATAGATACTTGGTTCTACTCAAGGTTATCAACAGTTATGCTTATAATGTGGATTCAAGAGTTGGTTAGATACAAATATTGCAACGAACTCATGCCCAGCAAAATAATGACACAAACGGTATAAATGCGATGCAGGTTGAAGTTAATGTGACCGCTTCGGGTATGCTTTCAGCAATGCATGATTTGGGTATTAACCCGTACCTTTACCTATCCCAGCATGTTCCAAAGCAATGCGTTAAACTGCCACGTTATTGTAACTAAGTCAGTCAGGTGGCCCTTGCAGCAAACCTGACATGCCAAGGCAGCCGCAGCCACGCTGCTACATGCAGCTGATTTCATTATAAAAACACTCACTCGACGACAAGGTCTTTCAGGGGGATCGGTAATGTTCGTCCATGTAATTTACATGGAAAACAGCTACCGCAGTCGTGTGCATCGTCAAAGACATGACTCGAATATTGCCGCAGTTTAATTGAATGCATCAGGTGTGCCACTTATACTTTGGCAGTTTATAATTTGCCCAAAAGCGTTTCGTGTAGTGTCCGGGTGACTTTGTGTGACACGAAAAGAGGTCACTGCACCGCTTATACATACATATATAGACCAGTTTACGATGCCATTTTCCTTTGTACGATTATTGTTGTATCAAATTCATGCTTACAAGGAAGACATTGCATGCTTACTTAAGAAATATACGATAAATAAGGGCATTATTTTTATGCCTCGATGAATACCTATTTATAACAGAAAATAAGCATGATCAACGCCTGGAGCTACCGAGTCACATCTGCCAAAACTGTTTTTTTTTTCTCGAATCCGCCTATTCGAATGACGAATTAGTGTATCTAGAATAAATACAAATGCTTTTGATTTAACCTCTTCCCAATTTGTGACAGCCAATTTGCAGATATATTAGCGCCTAAGCATAGTTGATGCAGCATTTTCTTTGATTTACATTCGTAAAACTTTGGGTTTAGACATGCTCACGCATTAGGTTTTTATTCCTGAAGTTTTTTCCTTAAAAATAATCCAGCATCGGAAACTGAAGACATCTAGTCAGGCATCTGTTTCCGTATGAACTATCGCGGGATTTGTCGTGAACTTCGCGCTAAGATAAACGCATTCCGCTAAACAGTTCAGTTATCTTAGTCCACGTGTGACTTCGGGCCCAGCTGCATTTGTGCGCTTATCTACATCCTGTGACTGACTTGTTACCTCCTTCCTCATCTGGAAGGCTTGTTGGTTCAACCGACATAAGATCAAAGTGCTTATGCATATATAGATATACATGCATAAGATCATGTGCTCTACATACAAATAAAACGTCTTTAGACGTTATATATCTTATATATTATATTATATCTTATATCTTATATATTATCTATAGACGCTGTAGACGTCTACAACGTCTAAAGACGTTGTAATTTACTGGATCGCCAAACAACCAGACTTGAAATAAAGTCGTAATTCATCCGTTACTACTATAACTAAAGTTTTAATGACAACGCAGAAGTGATTTGTATACATACAAATTATAGTTTTTGTAATGGACGTATATGCACAGCATTCTGAATTCCCAGTCCCATCTCCATACCTCCTCGTTAAACGATCGAGGCATTACGATCCTCCACCTCCCACCTGCTCACCCACCACTTCTTGTTCCCCAGCTGCAGACGGCAGTGACGGAGATGAAGACGGCCTTCACGTCAGCGATACGTCAGCTGACGTCAGCGCCGTCAGCGGCCGACCTGACGCTGATCGAGCACGACGTCACTGCCATCACCGCCGTCAGAGATATCAAGGTACGACGGGAGAATAGCACACATGAATGGGGCTAGGAGCTACATAAATGTAGACAATGTTTATGAAGAGGAACATGTCGGAAAGGAGTGGCGATCTGCCGCTGGGACGGGATGCTGGATATGAAGTAAATCGAAGGCATATTTGAAATAGAAGCCCGAGAACGGTGTTTTGTGGTGCATCAGATTTTTGGCCGAATGAAGACGATGCTGAAGCTGTAGTTTGGTATGAGTAAGATGTCAAAACTCGTAACGTCTTCGTATTTCAGCTTGTCAAGCATTGGCCGTGTCACCTTACGGCAGTAGCTACCAGCAACCATGACATGTTAGTAAATATTTATAAATAAGCAATGTTCCTATGGCATCGTTCATTCGTTTACCTTTTTCTTCGGCAGTCGGAGCTGGTTGCCATGACAACGTCGCTGCAGCAGCTGGAGCAGGGCCAGCAGTCGACTCGGCGGCAGCTGCAGCAGCTGCTCGACGAACGAGACCTGCTGCTGGACGAGCTGTGCAAAACGGGCAGCGTCTCCATGGAAACCAGGTGAGAAAACAGACAATGAAGTTATTGCGCCTCGAATGAAGAATGCAGTTGCAGTCTGGTTTATTTAGGAGGAGCTCAACTGTAATCTCATGAATGATAAGAATATATGTGAAGGTTAAGCCCTCAGCATGGGTGTTTTATCAATTTTGAACTTTTCTTTGAAGTTCTTAGGCAAAGGCAGGTATTTTGATCTTTCTCTTGCTTTTCCTACTGCCCATTTGATAGTGATGCCTGAGATTAGAACAAAAATAGTAAAAATATAATGAGGAAAACCAGGGCTGCGGAGTCGGAGTCGGAGTCAGAGTCGGAGTCGGTCGGAGTCGACAGTTGTGACCGGAGTCGGAGTCGGAGTCGGAGTCGATTTTGGAAACCCGAGCCGGAGTCGGAGTCGGAGTCACCGAAAATCTGTCGACTCCGCAGCCCTGCAAGGTCTGCGGAGTCGGAGTCGGGAGTTGGAGTCGGTCGGAGTCGACAATTCTGCCCGGAGTCGGAGTCGGAGTCGGAGCTGGTTTTTGAAAGCCGGAGTCGGAGTCGGAGTCGGAGTCGCCGAAAATCCATCGACTCCGCAGCCCTGACTGGAAAACAACGGAAAGACTTATTCACCTCTACCACTCTCTGACCATGTTAAAACAGATTTTGTCAGCTTGCCAGCCTGAAACCCTGTACAGTAGCCTCGTGACCCGGGGTAGCATTCACCGCCGTGTGACCAGACAGGCTGACATGCTGGAGAGACCTGTAATACGGACGGAATCGGGACGCCGACGATTTCTGTTTTCTGCCGTCACGGGCTACAATGAATTGCCGCCGAGTTTCCACAACATGGGAACGCGAGAGTTCAGGCTAAAACTCCGCAAACATCTTCTGGCAAAACAACAAAACGAGTAGCACGATGTACAAATGTGATGTGAGCTGAGTGTGTGTGCGTGAGTGTGTGTGTTAGTTGTGCAACTGAATCCCGATGTTCCGTTTTTATGACATGTCAATCATAATAGCCATGTGTTCATGGACCGATTGCACGATGTGAATACAATACAATACAATACAACGGTATAAAAAGTAAAAACACAACGAAGTTTTACTTGTAATGTAGATTGCTCTGGTTTCATCTTCGTTGACGAAGCATGGAAGAACCGAATCCCGTAAAAACACAATTCATCCATCGCGTGATGTTAGGACCACTCCCTAATTCCTAAAACATGAATCAGACCGTTTTGATTATTTGATACATTTTTTACTTTCGTAGACGTCCCATATTTGTACTCCCTTTGTGAATGTCACGCTCCGAGTAGGTCACTACGTCAACCGGCCAATGCCGTAACACGAATGCACCGAAAAAATGAGCGCAACCGTTTGCCACAGCAAACGCGAGATGGGCTCGTCGATTTCGGGTCGCCGTATTTGGCAGCAGTATCGTGTCGGGTTTGCCGGCGAATATTTTTGATCAGGGTGTTCGTGAGTTTGAGTTTGCTAGTCATGAGTTGCTGACTGCTGAACATGGGCATCATTGTCCGATCCAGTAATGGTAACTTACTCTAGAAAAAAAAAGAAAGAGAAAAAAAGGCTATCACCCATTTTCCGTTACCGAGAAGGACTAATAGACGACCAGGACCTTCGTAAATTAAGGAAAACGAGTGTGAAATGTAATTTGCTTGAAAAGGGTACATTTTGGTTCCATACTTTCACCAGATTTCCTCACCGAGGACATGACACGTAAAGGTGCCGCAAGGACGTACTGTTGTTTTCCGCCTCTGCGCTTGGGCCGAGGCCGGCAGAGTTGGCAGGTTGTATTGATTTACAAATAACTCCTGTTACGAAACAACGGTTTTACGTTTGCAGGCAGCAGCTGCATCAGCCGGGTCTTCAGTTTCCTTCGCGAACCTCGAGCGGTTGCCATAGCAACGACTCGGGACTGGGTCAGACTGTGGACAAATCGGTCTGGTCCGCACCGTCGGACCAGGAGACCGGCTCGCTGGGAGATGGTCCCCTGGTCTCTACCATGGTCCAGGAGTACGTCAACGGGCTCAGTGGAGGTAGGTAGAAACTGCAGGTCAGACTTAATGTCAGCGTCTAAAAATTTTAATTGAGTCAAGAATATACTCACAATTGGCATACAACATAATTGTAAATGCTTAGGTATATCTTAGTAATATTCACATGACGTTCATTTGATATATCTCGCATAGGTAAAATTTTTGTCATGGACAACTAGGTGCTGTAAATACAACCTCACTAGAAATCAATCAACATGGGGACAGCTCAACTTCGGTAGTGCGCACCACAGAGCATGGGCTATAACAATGATCACTGTTCACGTCGCATGTCTCATCAACGGCCAGTTAAGTAAGCTCATATAGTCGCTGTTCGCGTCATCTTGTCAGACACGGTTTGCATTTCTTTCCGCCAGGTGGCGACAGCTACGACTCCGATTCGTCACTGTCCGTAGCCGTGACAAAGTCGTTCGCCCTGAGCACCTGTCTCTCGAAACAGTGCGGCCTGGAGCTGGATGACGTCAGCGAATCGGAAACGGCTCAGGTAGGGGAATTTTCCGACGCAAAGTTGTTACGCAGGGCTGCTTGAAGGCAAGGCGAAAACTGAAGTCTCCTTCTGGCATCGGATGTCATCTCGATCTAATCCCCTTCAATTGCGAAGTTGTAGACGTTTCATTATTAAAATACGGCAAGTAAAGGTGGTTTGAATTTGTGAAACCACACGATCAGCAGTAAAGGTGCATGACATTTTAGCTTCACATAGGCTCGCTATCACATGGTTTCTTTTTAACCCGCGCCCCACTGGGGTCTGTGTATAACACGCCCTACTGGGGGGGGGGGGGGGCTATTCATAGCCCCCCCTCCTAACTCCGAAACTACTGGGCCGATCGTCAAAATTCAAACGGCGTCTGATAGCCCCGGAAAAACTGTCGAGCGAAACCTAATTTCATTGACCTCGAGGTCACCGATGACGTCACAGGTCAGGTCAAAGTAAAAATTATTAGCACTTTGGCTTGTTCACATTTTGGGCGCTGGCCGCCGTCTTACAAGTCAGATCAGGCTCATTTTTGGTTTCCACACTTGTGAACAGATGCTCTAGATACCTTGAGGGTACCAAACTTGTACTTTGATTTTCAGGTCAGGGTCAGGTCATCACAGGTCACGAAAATATTATATCATGCGTCGGTCACGTGACACATGTTTTATGGTCCATTTAGGCCATAGATTTCGAATTTGATGTCGTCTGTGTCATTCAAGGTCATTTTGAGTCGAAATTAGCTTAGGTCAGGTCACTTTCAGGTCAAAAAAGGTCAAATTTTGAAGTTGAAATTTTTCAACAAAAAAGGTGTCTATTGGATGCAGTTTGAGCTCAGGAACACGATGGTGCCATTTATATTGGTGTACGATGCCAAATACGTACTGAAAAATTGATTTGAAAAATTAATAATTGTGAATTTTTTGCAATAATGCGTATAACTTGGCCATTTTTGAAGATATTTAGCTAAAACTTGCTACAGTTAGTCATAACCATACGTTCTGTCACATATATTCCGGTTTTTTCGAAAAGTCAAAAACTTTTTGAAAAAAATATAAAAATATAAATTTTGAATATCATTTTATAAAATTTTCGAAATTTTCAAAATTTTGAAAATCCGAGATAGCAGTTTGATAGCGCGGTCAATTCTGAGTTCTTTCATGCAAAGAAATTGGATCTAGCTTAAAAACTGAGCTCTTGGGAGCGATTGCCGTGGTTCAATGTTTTGCGTCGAAATCGGACGAACATGACGTCACTCTGACGTCATTTCCGGCCGACCTATAGTAGCTACGAAGTTCAAATTTTGACACAAGGTGTCAAATTGATGCAGCCGAAGGTACTGAAAGTCTGGCGTCGATTCGTAAAGCGGTTTGGAAGTTATTACAGAAAAACGGGAGGGGGGGCTATAAATAGCCCCCCCCAGTGGGGCGCGGGTTAAGTGCACGCAGCAAAACATTTTCGTCTCCCTCTCACCTTTCTCCTCCATCCCTTCTCATCGCTCACAGACTCTAAGCTCCGGCGACGCGGAGGAGTCGGAGCGGGTGAAGGTGGTCAGGGAACTGGCAGAGACGGAGCGTCGCTACTGCGGCACCCTGTGGACCATACAGGACACGTTTGCCGAGCCGCTGGCGGCTGCACAGGTGGTCACCCAGGATGAGCTCAGGTGAGTTACAGGGCCGCTGGTCAGCTCACAGATGGGTTTTAGAGCCGCTGGCAGCCGCCCAGGTGGTCACCCAGGATGAACTCAGGTGAGTTACAGGGCCGCTGGTGACTGGTCAGCTCACAGGTGGGTTTTAGAGCCGTTTGGCAGACACCCAGGTGGCTACTCAGGATGAGCTCGGGTCAGGGTGGGTAGATCGGGATGGTTAGGTATGTGTTAGCTGTTTATACCGTGTTACCGGTGCATGTGTATCGATAAGTGGATTTTTACTTTTATCTTTTACGAATGTTTACAAAGTTTCGTCATAATCACTGCATTTTGGGGATTTTCGGCTTTTCTTTTACGATCGCCTTTTTGTGAGCTGATCGTTTCTGAAGGTTGCAACGGGTACTCATTGTCCTTGACAGTCGCAACCTACGGGCTATCCAAAGTTGAGAACCCTTAGGAGGATTTAGTTCGTCTCTTCGTAACCAACTCCGTCTCTTCCCACCAGCACTCTGTTCCCTACCGAGTGTGCTCGACTGTACGAGAAGCACTGCCGTCTGCTACACTCACTGGAGGAGCGTCTGGACTCGTGGCCGTGGCAGAGTGGAGTCGGCGACCTTATCTGCAGGTCAGTACGGTTAGCGGTGACCTGACATGTCAGTAACGTGACCTCATCTGCAGGTCAGTACGGTGACCTTAATTGCAGGTCAGTTGGTGACCTCACGAACAGGTCAGTCTGATGACCTCATTGACAGGTCAGTGTTGTGTCCCTGTATCAATTGGGGTCAGCTGGGGTCGGTTTGGGTCACGTTCTCTATATAGAGTTCAGCGAAAATTATTGACCTGGAATCCACCAGTTCGGTGCCAATGCATAGGAAGGTCAAAAGAGGTCACTTTTAGACAGATGTAGCTGATGTCGCAGCGTCAACATCAATGAGTGCACATCATGCTTTTCATTATTGACCGAAGTCCTGACGCAGCAACGTCCAATGTTCATCCCTTTACGGTCGAGACTCCCGCTAACTTTTAGTACCCTATCTGCAGGTTTATCGTTCACGGCGACTCGGAGGTCCTTCGCCTGTACACCTCGTACGTCAACGGCTTCCCCCAGCTGCTCAGCACGTTCTACCGGCTCTGCAGGACGTCGGCAGACTTCCTGCAATTCCTCAAGGTAGGACCACATCCTTTGAGGACTCGGAGACAGCTTGGCTTTGAGATATCCCACTGATATGTGTTTGATGAGGTTCTGGTTGACGATGTGATTGCCTTATCTTCGCCATTTTACTTGTGATGATTTTCAACTGTCACTGTGTGCACTTGCTGGGTTACAACCCATTACACCACATCTCGAAGTCGTTTCATTCAACATTAGTTTTCTCACTGGCAAGTTATGGAATTGGGAATGGAAACATCGTCATCAACACTCAACAGCTCTCCGGGTGTTCAGACTTCTATCACCACGCCGCTATACCCTCATGACCTGACCTCTGCTGACCTGACCCCCCCCCCAGGCTCGCCAGCACCACCCGGGCTGCGCGGGACTCGACCTCTCCGCCCTACTGCTCTCCCCCGTGCAGCGGGTGCCTCGCTACGTGCTACTACTACAACAGCTGCTACGTCGCACCCCGGCTCAGCACAGCGACCACGCGCCTCTGCAGAGGGCGCTACTGCAGCTGAGACAGTTCCTGGCCAGGCTGAACGACTCGATGGAGCAGAGCTTTCAGATGGTGCACCGCGGAGCCGGCCAGTGGGATAGGTAAGGGGAGAGATGGGAGGGAAAGAGAGGGCAAATGAGTGCGAGAAGAGAGATATGGAGAGGGAAAGAGAGCCGAGAGGGGTAGCTGAGAAAAACGTTTTACCTGTACAAAATTAGTAAAATGGGCAGGTAATTTGAAAAGATAAAACGGAGTTTATAACTAAGAGGATATGTACAGCTTTCTGTATGGATGTATTCCTGAACCTTTTTGTCATTTCACAGGGTACCGAAGTCCGCTTCAGTCGCCACTCTCTCTGTCGGTGACCCCGAGACCTCGTGGAGCCCGTCTCGCCGGTCCGCCGAGCCTGCCATCTCGCGGCGGCGCGCCAAACTAGGGTCGGGCAGCGGTCTGACTCGTCCGATCACCACCATCTGCCGGGCAGCCTCCTCCAGCGGTAGTGACACGTTGGAGCGGGCAGATAGGGGCGCCACCTGCACCAGGAAGGCGCGCAGGACGGCCTCAGAGTACAAGGTGGGCGGGCTCAGCGCTCATTTGGAGAGATATGGTGTGTTGCGATAGTATTTAGGATGTAAGAGCTACGCGGTATCTGATTATAAAAGATTAACGAGGTTTTCCAGAATAAGTAGGCTCAAAATGGTCGTTTGCGACTCGTGTTTGATTCATTGGCGTGTTGACTCACTGTTGCAACGTTCCTTGCGTCACATCAAGAAAAAGGCAGCCGTTTGACGTCTCACACGTTCTAAAGCTGAGCTGACGCCTGGCCCGACCTCTGACCTGTGACCTGACCTCGCTGGCAGCCGTTCGACTGCAAGTCCCTGCCTCACATGAAGCAGCGCCGGCGCGCTCAGCTGTCCAGTCAGCTGACTGCGGCCCGCTCAGAGACGAACCTGCGCGAGCGTCCGCTCTCGGTGTTCGACCCTCCCGCTGCACGGTCCGCTGCCAACCTGGCAGAGCCATCTACCGGCGGCGCGAGGAGGCTCGAGTTTGAGGACATCCCGCTGGATACTCCAACCGACCGAGATGAGCCGAGCTCACGGAAATTGGGCAGCGAGGAGCCGAAAACGCCAACGAAGAAGTCATCGAAGGTGACAGTTGTTGGCATATTGTTAACATGTTGTTGTCAATTGTCAATTGTTAACATAAAATACTATCTAGTGTGATTCATCTGGCTACAGACGGCCTCTCGCGATAAATTCCGGGAAGCCTACGCATGGAAAAAGCTTGTTTCTTCTGAAGACAAGTTAATAGTAAGAAGTAAGAAATTTTGTCAGTGCACTCTGACTCCTTTCAAGGACATTCTCTGTCCCACCTCATCCTCACAGCCTGTCTTCACGACTCACCGCCCCTCATCTCTCCCCAGACTGACAGTCAGACGCTGCCCCGCGGCCGGAGGATGGTTGTCAGCCGACTGGAGAGGGCCGTCACCCCCGAAACTCCGCGGCCGCCCAGCGCCGAGCGGGCGCGGAAGGTGTCACTCAGGTCGCTCAAGAACATGTTCAGTCTCAAGAAAAGGTGCGTCGAAGAGGCCAAATGGTCTTATTGGTCTTACCTTTTACCTTTTATGGTCTTACTTGGTTCTTATGAGTCGTATAACCTCCGCAGATCATCTGTTTCCCGCAGCGCCAGCTGCGAGCTCAGGATGACCGGTCAACTTGAACTATGACCTCGGGTGACCTGTTAAACAGCAGTGTAACTCATCGTGACCCGCCTTCTGTGGTGTATCACCCTTGTATGACATACCGAGCAAATTTTGACCTTTGCTGACCTGTCACCCACAGGAGCTCCCGTTCGGGAACTCTGGACATCAGTGCCAGCTCCAAGGACCTGGCAGATGCTACCAGCTCCGACCAGTACACGCCCTTACCTGAGCCCAGCCCAGAGGGCGCCACTGAGAGCGCTCGCAGCGCCGCCTAGGGCAGCTGCCGCAAACGCTGACCTTTGGGTGGGTGCAGCTCGCAGGGAGGCTGCTGTTTCTTGCCAGGCCTGGCGAATCGTTCGAAAGAGAACATCTCTGGCCCGAGGAACCTGAGACACTGTCTAAGAGGTGTAGACTGCAGCCGTTTCTGACTGCCGTAGTATGCACCCAAACGCCCATTAAACAGGGCGTTCTGGGGCCTATTTATAGACTGCACTGTGTTTTGTAGCTCATTCAGCTAGTGGACAGATTATTAAACATCTCAGTGCACTTGTGTTCAGTCTCCCGTCGCAGCTCGATCTCTGCAATGCAAGGATCGGGAAGTGAAGATGACTGTGTCGGTTTGCCAGGGATTGATTGTTGCCGGGGCGGGGGCGAGCTGCTGAGTTTCAAATAAGAACTTCAAATAAGAACGTATAAATAAATAAGAAATTCTTATTTCAAATAAGAATTTCAAATAAGAACGTGTGAAAAGTGCAAGGTATATGCGGGAGTATGTTTTATGCGAATTTTATCGTATTGTTGCGCTTGATTTGGTTGAATTTTATGATGCAGTTTAGCGAGATGTCAGACTGTATTCAAGCGTTTGACTGTCGTGAGCATGTATTGCGCATCGCTTGTGTTTTATGCGCGCAGGTGTTAATTGATGGATTGAATGTTTGAGCAATACGCGAAATACATTATTCGATTTTTAACGACGGTTGCGTCAGACGAGGCAGCTTACCCAGGCCGTTACAGTGGCGCTCTTCACTGTTCAACGTTCCTTGAGGAGCAGCACAGTCCTCGATCCCTGGAGCGGAGAAACCTGACCCGGAGTGAGGAGCCCCACCACTACCTTCACGGTCCTCGGGAAGCACCGAACACGCCCGCTTTGAGTTTATTTTTTATTCCATTGAGTCGTTAGACGGAGATGATCTTTTACATAGTTATTTACACACATATTCCGCGCTCACACTTGGTTTGAAGTATATAGATACACTAAGGCCCCAGCTGACCGGTCACCGCCGTGCGCCCTGGGAGAGGCGCGTGACGACACCGGCGCCATCTCCCGCCCACACCACTAAACATTATTGTCGGAAACGGCCGCCGCCAGCGGGCCCGTCACCTCGCGCGGCCAACGGAGGCCGCGGAATGCGAGAGAAGCGCCCCGCCGGGCCCGGCGCGGCCCGAGCCGACACACACGCACACACACAGGATGCGCCCGCTCGCGGTATCACACTGAGGGAGCTCTCTCGGCCCCCACCAGTCGGCCCGGCCGTCCCGTTTACCATATATACCCGCTCTCGGATTCAGCATTGCACATGCCACGATGACAGGGAAAAAGTAACGCGCGTTCGCTCTACCCGTGCTCCCTCGCTCTCTCTCACTCTCTCTCTCGCTCTGTCAGGTTTGGTGGTGTCCCACCAGGAATGCCTCGACTGATCGCCCGCCCGGCCCGACCCCGCAGGTCGCCGGCCCGCGGGTGCCCGCCCACGTCGCCTACAGAAGCTCGGACAGGTCGCCCAGAAGCGCCGCTATCCGCCACACAGCGGTCACGGCGTCGACGGCGACCCTCACCACCAGCCATGCATAGTGGAATGATGAAACGATTTATATACATACACCGCACGGCAGTATCACAGACTGAAAATCAAAGTCGGCAAATGGGGGGCGCAGCGGTCGCGCCGACCCAGTCGCCGAAGGGGCAGAGACGGGTGGGTTACAGCTCCACCAAAATTGGACGCGGCGCGACGCAACAACCATGCAAAACAGACATCTATACCGCCGTCCAGAGAGGAAAAACAATGTCGACCTAGCATCCATCCCGAAAATCTACTCTCCATGATATTGGCGAGGCTGGCGCGGCCGTCAGGCGACGCCTCCCGTGGAATGCAAGTGCGCAGCGCGGGCGACGCCGCGCCAGCTAAAATGCGAGCGAATTATGCGTGTTTGACTCCACGCAGTCATGGCGAAAACAGCCACCGCTGCGTTCGGCGGCGTTCGGCTCGGCGGCGGCTCAGTTAGTGATGAGCAGCTGCTGGTCCTGGTGCGGACCGCCGCCCTCCGCCGGCGCACTCTCAGAGTCCACCTCCATCTGATCGAGCCCCGGCCAGCCGGGCACGCCCCAGAACTGGCGCAGGCCCGTGCCGCGCGTGATGCTGGGCCTCTGCGGCCGCGCGCCGGCCGGCACCACCTGGTAGAGCGGCGGCGGCGGCGGCTGGCCGTCCACCACCGGCGCGCCGCTCTCGTCGGTCACAGAGATGGCCGGCGCGGCGGCCGGCTCCGGCGCTAGCGTGCCCGTCGTGATCGACATCCGCTGGCCGGCGGCCGGCGGCGCCACCAACGGCATGCCCAGCAGCATCTCAGAGTCCTCCTGGATGCGGCCCAGGTTGGCGGCCGTCAGAGGACTGCCGGCGCGGTGCGGCAGCTGCGGCAGGTGGTGGAGACCGGTCTCTAGCGGCACCAGCTGCTCGCGGGAGGCGGCCGCGCTCGAGTTGGAGGTACCAGAGGTGATGCTGCCGCCGGCCGAGCACGGGGCGCTCACCAGACGGGTCGGCAGCGAGACGGGGGAGCCGGGACAGCTGTGACGCTGCAGGGTGGCCTGCCGGACGGACAGGGCGCGTCAGGGCACATACATACAGGGGGCGGAGCGGGGGCTCGCGACAGACGAATGGAAAACATACTCAGCTAGCATATACTCAGCTGACAGCTCACTTGCAATGCGGAATATGTGCATGTTTACATGTGGGCGGACTATCTAACATCACTTCGCGCCCGTAATGTAAATTAGCAACAAACAACATAATCAAATCAAGATGATAGCAAGTACGCTGCATCTGCAAATGGTGGAATATAGCCTCTGTTAAAGCAGTAGAAATTCATAAAATCGTGACTCATAAGTTCATGGCTATATTCATCATAAACAGGATTCCTCTTCTCAACCGTCACCTATCCTACCCTAACAAATTATACCATTTTTAACTACCTTCCTCAACGGGCTCCTTAAACCACACGGCTAATCCCAGTTCCCACCTACCTACAAGTCTATCCTCCCGCATTCCTCCCCTCTCCGCTTTCCCTCCACCTCAACTCACACTGACTGGTCCAAGTCCGAACGGCTGCAGGGACACATCAGTCTGTAGTCGCAGCGTTTCCATGTTACGTAGTAGCGCCTGGTCGCTGTGGCTACCCGTGTGAGCGAGTCCGCCTGACGGGGGAGCCGCGAGTCAGGAGACGCGGAGTCGGGACAACGGGGGCGCGCGTTGAGAGACACAGAGATGGAACAGAGACGCGAGTCAGGAGACATCCCAATGGGACAATGGAGATAAGACTCGATACACGTCAACGGAACGACTGAGACAACTGACACAGGAGAGACACGGTAAGAGACACGCGTCAGGAGACATGGATACGGGACGAGAGAGTCACGCGTCAGGAAACATGTCGAGACAGAGGATAAACGTCCACGGATCAAATGGGTTAATGGAGACAGGTGAGACACACGTCAGGAGACATGAATACTGGATAATAAAGACAACTGAGAGACACATGTCAGACGTATGTTAAACAATAGCGCAGAGACATAAAGACATCATGTACACAGAAACATACAGGGTGTCCCAGAATTACCCGGACATTTATTTTCTGGCTAAAAGTGCGATTGCGCTCGATTCTAATGATATACAAGCATCATACTTTTATAAGATATCCCTTAGCTATCGAGCTTGGGGACTGTGTGCTTTTGGTGACCGGTAACGACTCGAGTCAATTATTATCCAGAGTCAAGTAAGAGTAGTCCTTTTTCGTTTTCAGCTTAAGCCACTAATAGGCAACCATGGTGAAACAACTCCCGTTTTCAACTTTGTAAACGGACTTTCGGCATGGTTTTTGCTGGAGAGCTTCTGCAGCTCATCTGCAAGCAGTTAGGATTGAGCAAAGCGCAATTATATCAGCTAACGAAGCCAGAGAGAGCAAGAGATAAACCTGATTGACAAGCTTGGGCTCGGCCAAAAAGGGCCATGCATCAGTTGTCAAACGGGTGGTTGCTTGTCATGGACAACAAACTAGAGCACTTCACGGATAGGCTTTTTAGGATCCGGCCCGGCCCATATCCGGCAAGTCATATCCAGATCCGCCCATTATCCGCCTTTCTTTGAATATCAGAATCCGGCCCACCCATGGCCCGTATTGCAGCCAAACTTCCAAAAAATATCCGTAATAATCCGTTTCACTAATAACTGGTTTCACCCAAAACTGGACTAACAAATTCAATCTAAGGGACCAGACAGCCATACATCTCACATAGTTTGTGAGTTGATATATAGTTTGTGGCAAAATGGTGTGGTTTTCATTCAACTTTGAGCCTAGGGACATGAAAGGCAAATAACAGGTGTTGGCTTGCAGGTGCACAATATTGTCTTTCAAACTTTGAGTTGAGCTGTCATTTGTTAGGAGCTGACTGACGTGTGGACTGTGGACATATATTTTTTTCATTTCGGGATTTCTTGAGCCATTTATTACATTATATTGCATACATTATCCACTTGAAGACAAGTCTTGTGACAAGTGAGTGTCATAAAATGATGCCTATTACTTTAACCCATTAATGCCGATCAACTATATATAGACGCGGAGTTCGGTGGTAGTAAAGAAACGTTTCTAAACGTTTGCTCCGATTCAAAACGTTTTCGTGCGTCAAGCGGGAGTGAGACAAGGGTGCCTGCAGCCAGTCTCGCCTGAATCGTGGCAGGGTGAAGAGGTGCGGCAAAGGTGATCGTGCCATCATGGCGTCGGGAAAAGGGTAAGTGTAAAAATATATTACAGTGGATTTCGAAACGATCGATGCTTCATTGATGTGTTACCTGCTTATTTTCTTACCTGCTATCCAAAGATGAAACATTTCCTGAATTTTGTGTTGCAGTTATAGACGTTTTATTGAAAGAGTCTATATATAGTACTTTCGGCACTAACGGTATACAAAAAACGGTGAAGTTTCAGTTAGCAGCCAATAACGTTTTTACGCTTTTTTTTCTCAGACTGAGTATTCAAGAAACGCTTGACAAGCTCGAGGAAGAGGAGAAAGACGTCAGTGCTGTCTTCATTTGTCCTCCCGATGTCAGAGAGGACTCCGATGGGGATTCCGCTGATGACGATGACGGTGGATATCTCGACAACCTAAATCGAAACCAACTACGAGCTACAGCGGAGGTAGTCTTGGCGAACGGCGACACCCTGTCTCAGAAACGTACAGGTACAGAACTGGAAGTCGGTCCTGGGAACAGCGGGTGGTCAGCAGGTGAAAACAGGTCAGGTGCAGATACAACGCAGGCTGATCAAGATCAAGGTGTGCCACGTAAAAAACGAGCCAAGTCTCAGAAGGAATCGCTGGAGTATAAGTGGGTCAAAAGGGACATCAAGGTCGGGCAGCATTTGCGATCAGAAGAAAATCCCCCGAGCAGTGTTGACCTGTCTCAACGTTCTCCTACCGAGATATTTGAGTATTTTTTCAATGACGACCTGCTAGATCACATCGCTTACGAAAGCCGCCGATATGCTGGAAGCAAAGGGGAACGTTTCGCTGTCAGCAGGGACGAACTAAAAACTGCTATCGGAATCATGCTTCTGTCAGGCTATCACACTGTACCCGCGCGGCGCATGTACTGGAAGCGAGAACGTGACATCGGCGTGGAACTGGTCGCGTCTGCTATGAGTCGAGATCGGTTTGACGAAATCCTCAGGTTTCTACACTTCGCAGACAATCAGCGACTGGACAAATCGGACAAGCTTGCTAAGCTACGTCCCATCATGGACCATCTTGAGTGAAGGTTCATGGCTGCATTCCCTGTGGAGCAAGATCTGTCATTCGATGAAAGCATGATCGCCTACTTCGGAAGACACGGGTGCAAGCAGTTCATCCGGGGAAAGCCCATCAGGTTCGGCTTCAAGGCGTGGTGTTTGAACAGCGCAAAGGGCTATCTGATCGCCTTCGATGTGTATCAGGGAGCTACGTACCGTGGTAGTGCCGAGTACGAAGAACGTTTCGGCAAGGGAGGCGCCGCCCTGGCAGATGCGCTTGACAGGCTGCCACTCCACATCCGCAAGATACCATTGAAGCTGTATTTCGACAACTACTTCACTAGCCTTCCTCTCATCAAGCATCTCACCCTGTGCGGATATGGGGCTACTGGAACGATCAGAGACAACCGACTGCCGAAGTCATGTCCAGCAGCTGCAGTGAAGTCGATGAAGGCGCTGGTCAGAGGATCAGTCTCGGTCTGTGGAGACACTAGCAATGGCATTTCAGTTGTGCGATGGAAGGACAATTCTGTTGTAACGGTGGCCTCAAACATGGCGGGCTCTGGACCTCTTCAGACAGTCAAGAGGTGGTCCTCGAAGGAGAAGAAGATGGTGCAGGTGCCTCAGCCGCATTGTGTGTCTGAGTACAACAAGAAGATGGGCGGAACGGACATCATGGACCAAAGCATCAATGCGTATCGCACAAACATCAGGATCAAGAAGTGGTGGTGGGCCATATTTTCATGGATGCTGGATGCAGCAGTGCAGAACACGTGGCTCGTACACCGTACCAAGGATGAACACGCCAGCCTCCTAGACGTCCGCCGGCAGATCTCCACGACACTGCTGACACGGTGTCAGCGAGATGTCAGCGGTGCCGGCACAGAAGGCGCAACAGGGCCGCCAAGGTCAGTACCTACGGGAGCATCACGGTCCACCGTCCCTGACATCCGGTATGACGGCATGCACCACTACGTCATCCCGGCAGAGTCTCAAAGGCGTTGTAAACGCGAGGCCTGCAAGTCACGGCCTTCAACAGCCTGCTGCAAGTGCAACGTCGCGTTGTGCGTGAAGTGCTTCCGCCCATACCACTCAAAGTAAAGCACAGCGAAAGGTCAACTGACTGAACTGTGTCAACTGTGTCAACTCTCAACTGCAGTGTCAACCGTGTGAGACCCCTATGGTGAATCCTGATCTGTTTCGCAGAGGCATCATATCTCAGTACATCAAATCGGTCATGTCTGTGTGAACAATAAACGTTGGATGTAACCCGTCCATTTTTGTGTACTGTAAATGCCGAGAGTACTATAGTTCGTTTTTCTTAAGTTTGCCCCTCACTGTAAACGTCTTTTTGAACACAGCACGAGAATTGCTAGCTGAATTACTGAGAAAACTGGTTGGCGCACATTGATTTCACCAGATTTCACAGACGATCAATTTTATCAAATTTGTTTACTATTTCACAGACTCATAGCTCGTATTTACCCATACCTAGAACTCCACAGTGATAGACGACTTCTCAGGAATTATGTCTGAACTAATTAATAAATTGCACGGCGTTTAACATTAACGTTACATCGTCGGTGTTCAAAACTTATTTTGAAAATATTATTCATATCTCCAATACAATGTGCGCCAACCAGTTTTCTCAGTAATTCAGCTAGTAATTCTCGTGCTGTGTTCAAAAAGACGTTTACAGTGAGGGGCAAACTTAAGAAAAACGAACTATAAATATAGACGCTCCATATTTCCGGAACTGAGACAAATAAAAACACAATCAGGCGAAATGTGTGTTAAGTAGGTGTAGTTGACGCCGTTTTAATAGAAGAAAACGTAATTTTTCAAGTAATTCTTCTTCCGGCACTAATGGGTTAATCAAACCTCTGCTGCCGCTTAACACATTAGGTTAATTTTTAACTTCAATGTTGAATGCTAAAATTTTGATCCGTTTTGATCCGGGTTCAACCTTCAATTCCCAAATCCGGCCCGCCCATATCCGTTGTTTTTTAACAAATTTAGAATCCAATCCTATCCGGTCCGCGGATTTATCCGTGGATAACGGATTTATCCGGCCCATGAAGTGCTCTACAACAAACGTCACTGATCTAGCTAAAAACTAGCTAAACAATAGATCAGGATTATCTAAAGAACATCAGTCTACTTTCCACCACTATCTTCGCAAAATTTTGAAATTTGGGGTCCCTCGCCTGAAAAATATGCGAAAACTACGGGAAAAGCAGCGAAAATCACTACAATTCATCCCAAAAATATAACATATACAACAAAAAATTATATTGAAGCACACTTTGTGGTCTAACGAAGGTATTCTGTCATTTGAACCGCCCAAAAAAGGCGTGTGTGAACGTCAGATGGCTACAACGCCCCAACAGCAGAGACGGCCAGGCAACCGTCGAAAATCAAATTGTGAGACATTTTGAGCTACCGTGCACTCATTCGGGTTGATATGATGGCCCAACGACAGCCGTTAGCACGGAGTACTACTGCGGTAATATTCTACCAGTAAAAAAACTGGATGCCGTAAACCAAATGGCCATGAACGGGTTTGTTTTGGAAACCAAATCTGTTGGAAGCCAAGGGTCCCACCATGTTCAGACATGGAGCTTCTCCACTTCAGATGTAAAAAAGCGTCAAAAGTGGTGTAGGCAGCAATTTTTGTTTTGGGGGATAATGCCTTATGACCTGGGAACACTTTGATGTTAAGTTTATCTTATATGATCGTATTATCCTTCGGCAACAGGTCAAAGAAAACAGGCCTTCACCCAGTTTCGGGAGAACCGTAAAACAACTGAGACCAGCAAAGGCTGGCATTTTTAATCATTGTCGGCTGATCTTGTAACAAGCGTATCTATTGCATGTGCTATTTCACAGCCACCCTAGTTGACTATATAGGATGATAAAAAGAAAAAGGCGCAATCCTTTTTGCCTTATTTTATACGCTAATTAACAATGTCCGGGTAATTCTGGGACACCCTGTAAGTCAGACGACAGATGTCTCGAGGAGACAGCGGAGATATACAACAGATGGTAGTGCCGAGAGACATGTCAAAGGACAAGTGTCTCCAAGATATATCTGGAGACAAGTCATGAGGGAGGCAGACGACAGTCAGATGCCAGCGTAGGTAGACAGATACGTCGACACGCGAAGGAGGCAGATCAAACGGCAAGGATCTGTGGGAGACAGCGGAGACACGAAAGACAAGCGGAGACATGAGCCAAAGGTCAACTGTCTCCAGGGCCCAGTTTCACCAAGCTCTGTTTGGAGTAGTTTCGGCGAAACTACCCCAAAGCAGTTTCACCAAATGGGGTAGGTTCTGATTGGCCACTTCCAAACTACCCCATGGAGTAGTTCTTATTTTACCCCAAATTTGCCATGCAAACAGATGCTCACGGTCCGTGAGCAACTGAACAAGCCAATCAATCAGCTGATTATCGTCGGTTCTACCCCAAATATCCGACCAAAATTACGGCAGACATTCGTGGGGTAATCTGTGAATATGATACCAATTGTGAGCAAGAATTGACAGTAAAATAGTAATAAGAACATACTTTATTGAAGCCCAATCACCTGTCACGTTTGAGTACGCATTATTCATAGCATACCTACTTCAAATTTCATCCAAGTATTTTACTGCATGTAGCCTGCGCCACCTATGCTTGTGATCTACAACACCAAAAGAAGCATTATAGATGTCGCCCATAGCTGAATGCCAGGAATTTTACTTTTTTTAACTTAAAGGTTTTCTTCAACAGTGACCTTGAATACCGGATGAGGAAGCCTTGAAATACAAACAATAAAAATGCACATTCTTCACGGTGGTTACATGCTGCGTCTTGTTGAAATGATCCAAGTACTTGTGTGATCTATTCAAATTATCATTTGAGCCTATATATGGCCTTGATTTGAGGCATCTATGTATTAGGGTCAATAAGCAAATATCCAGCAAATATCAAGACGCTAACAACTGAAAGCAATATAAAAATGCCGTACCTAAATCAGCAAGAGGATGTGTCGTGCATACCTAGGTAATTCTCATTAGAAATAAAAAGCATATGGTGCACGAAATTCGTAAGAAGCAGTTGTTAAAAATACCAGGCCAAGTGGATTCGATACTTTCCATATCTATTTTTTTTTTGTCGCTGTTGTGCATATCTCAATTAAGTTGCGTTATGTGCCGTACATCTGTAATGTTTGTATTTTGTATGGCACATTAGAAATAAAAAGCATCTGGTGCAAAAGATTCGTAGTTAAAAGTCGTCAAAAATACCAAGCAAGGTGTATTCGATACTAAAACATGCACTAATTTACTGAAACATTTAATTATAAAACACTAAACATCTAATCTAATTTAACATCTAATCTAATCTTAAATATCTAATCTAAACATCTAATCTAAGCATCTACGGGTCCCGGTCCCGTAGCTCAGTTGGTTAGAGCGTTGGATTCCGCGTGGTGAGAGCACGCGTTCCCGGTTATAACAGTCCGGGTTCGAAGCGCGACGGGCGCTCGACATTTATGGGCCTCCTGACAGGTATGGTTGTGGTTGGTGGCAGGCCGTAGCCAGGCGAAGTCAGCGAGGGGACCGGCCGTGCGCGGCTTTGTGCGCACGTAAAACTTTGGAATCTAAATTCTGCCATAGAATCGGAATTGCGCGATCGGAGGGTAGAGGGCAGAGTCATCGCAACAAGCTTCGCTTAGCGGTGGCTCTGTCCTTGTGAATCCTTCCCATCAAAATGTTCGGACTAAATTTATAATAAAAAAATCTAATTTATGAAAACACTAATTAATATTAAAACATTCGATACTATTCGATAATAAAACTAGATAAATCGATATTCGATAATGTAACCTATCCATCAAGATTCGCGGTTGTGCATTGCATTCCTTTCTCAATACAGTTGTGAATCTTGGAAACTGAGGCGCCATGGTGCCATCGTTACCAAGGTGATTGGTGGACAAATACAAGAAGCCAAATCGAATGTGTTCTTCATTTCACGCCGTCGTGAAATGAAATTCTCGACCAATCAAAACGTTCCGTTGTTTTGCTGATGCTGCTTGCTTAGCAAACATTCACAAGAGATGCCGAGACTACCCCATGGGGGTAGTTTGAGCTGGTGAAACTGGATTCTATCCCATGGGGTAGAATGGAAATCTACCCCATGCCGAAATTACCCCACTTGGTGAAACTGGGCCCAGGAGACACCAGGAGACAAGTGGGGAGGGCGCGTGGAGACAAGTTAGACGCTAAACAACTGCAATGATACAGGCAGGGACTCAACGTGCAGACTGGTGGTGCAGAGCTGCGATTGACAACACACGGGGCCATTCGCAGTCAGTGGACACTGCGGCTATTTATAGCTTGATTTATCGCCGTCTATTTCTAGAACGAGCCTGCTCACTGAAAGGTTACAAGGAATATGAGAGCACAAAGCAGATGCGGGCGTTGCACAATGAAACACCAGTAAGACCGCATTCCTAGACACCCAACACTGAATGCAGGGACCAAGGACTCCTCTATAAATAGACAAGTTTACCTCTAACCTTTAAGCCCACCAAATGGCGGGACATGTTTCATATCATACCGTAAGACATTAGACCACCCTGCATCACCCAACTGAGGGCCGGATGGGGACAGAGTGCGGTATATAGGACAGCGGCCGGACCACCCCAGTCCTCTACCTGGCTCGTCCCGCCCTCTCCCTCCGGTAACCCCTCTCATACCTGGCGCTCCCAGCTGTCCGACGCCCTCCTGTCTTCGCTGCAGAAAGTGGCGCGTGTGTTGCAGCTGCAACTCCTGCATCGTGGTGCTGTCCACCGACCGGCTGTGTTGCTGGAAACGGCAGGCACGCGCGTCAGTCACACGAGCGTGCCGTAATGCTTCACAATGAATCAAAACGCGTCACAAAGCTTTCGGGCGTCCGTGAGTGTAAAATACGTTTAATAAAATCACATACTGTGAATGCGTCTCGATGGATCAAGCTATGTCAAATAAAGGTTTCCAATGAAGCACGAACCACTGGAATACGCCAAGATGTCTCGTTAAGGATCATCGATACATCACCAAACGTCCCAATACGCCAAGGCGTTACAATCATGTATCCAAATACATCACAGCAACAACAGACGTTTCTGTGTGCATAAAAATGCGTCACAAAATGCATTGCAATCAGGATCAAGTTATGCCAAATGAAGGCATTCCAAGGAATCACGAAACATTGGAATACGCCAAAAGGTCTTGTGAAGGATCAACAATACATCACCAAACGTCCCAACACGCCAAACTTCGTGACGATACGTCAAAACGCAACACGATTGGTCACGATGCGTTACAATGCGCCGCACAGAGGCACGCTGTCCCCCGGTCCGCCGTTTTCATCCTCAGGGTAGTTAAATCCTTCTCCTCCACGCCTCAACCCTCTGTTCCGGGCTGGACGGACAGCTTATTTATGCCATGCAGGAAGCTCCCCTAGGAGCAGACCCGTAGCGGGGTGCGGTGAGTGTCAGGGGGCTGGGTGGCCTGTCCACTGGATGGGCTCAGCCCCGGCGACTCACTAGGGTCCCTGCCCAGACCAATGTCTCCCCCTCATTCCTATCATCCTTCCGGCTCTGAAATGGTCTTGTTAGACCCAAAGAGCCTAACCCAACACACAAACAGAACGGCACGCTGTCAGCACATGGCCAATTAGAAACAAGGTGACGCTGGGCCGCTGGCAAACAATGGGAATTTTTGTCGTGCGCGAACAGTGACCTTACCCACCGGCTTTGTCAAGAGCGAGCCTAAAATAAACCAGAACTGGCACTTAAAGTGAAAGGGACAGAACCTGACCAAATAATGAAACACTCGGACTTGGAGGGACGGGGTTGCAACCAGCGATAAAAAAGGTTTGCATTACCTTACAATAAAGTTCCTAAGAACAGTAACTATTAAGGATTATCCAACGAAAGATGTCGCGTTAACTACTGGCTAATACAAACGAACTACTGTAGAAACTGACAGGTAATAGCAGCTACCACAGCGTCCCGCCCGCCTACCTTAAGCTGTTCCAGTTCCCGTACGGCGTCCTGGTCTTGTCCCAGCATTGACGAGTCGCTCACACGGCGGGTGTAGCGGTCCGAGGGAATACGTAGCGAGTTGGGGTAGTGGCCGCCTGCCGGGCACCGGGTCACAGGTCAGCCGCAGCGGTCACGGCAGGGGGTCACGGGGGTAAGGGGGTCAACGGTCAGCGACAGGGGTCACGGCAGGGGTAAGGGGGTCAACGGTCAACGACAGGGGTCACGGCAGGGGTCAGGGGGTAGGGGGTCAGCGGTCAGCGATTGGGATCACGGCAGGAGTCAGCGATAGGGGTTATTAGTCAGCGACAGGAGACAGGACGTGTCCTGAGATAGGGATTGAGGCTCATGGGTTAAGGATCAGGGGTTCAAGGCTTCGGGAGTTACTTTTAAATGTCAGAGGTTACACAGTACGAGTTAAATGTCAGAGGTTAGACTTAAAGGTCATGGGTAATTGGGTCCGTGCGGTTACGGTGGTGTAATGAAAGCTGTAGAACAGCCGGCGTGAGGTGCAAACACACACGTAAAATGACGGGAAAGCGACAAGTGACAGGAAAATTGAGAGGATATTGTGAGGTTGAATATAACGAGCGGATGGAATGTTTTGCCATAGTCTGCAGCTCAATTGACGCCTAGTTATTTTCGCTCACCAAGGGGCATATTAATATTCGCAATTATCGCTGAAATGTTACTTATGCCATAGCTTACACACTTAATTATGCTATTATTGTCGCTTCTACTAAACACCAAGCGATAATGTGAACAATGCTACGCTTGATTAATCACTTAACTACTATCAATCAAAGAACAAAGATACACTTCTACGTAGGAAAACACATAAAAGAGAGCACACGAACTCTAAAAACATCAGCCAATCACAGAAACGGCATGCACTAAACACAGCCAAACCTGTAAAATAATAATTAGCCACAACACATCAGCAAACATCTAACAAAAGACCATGCCAGCTTGACAGACTGCATGCGGATTGAAAATGTCATGCGGGGCTGGTCCAACCGTGACGCTCCACGCCGGCTGAGCGTCGCCCGTGACCACGGCGGGGACCGGACCGGCCGGGACCACGCCGGTCCGCCCGGGGACCACGGTCCGGCCTCGACGGTCCCGCCTGACAGAGCGGCGACCGGTCAGACTGCCCGCTAGGGTCGGTTGGTGGACGCACAAACAGCTGTTAGGTTTGTTTGTGTGTGTTTTGCGTATGTAGTTATTTCTGGGTGTTTGATTTGGAGATGTAGATACCCGAAGGTTGTTTCTTCATTAGACAAACACTATTCTTTAGAATTGTGTTTTTCTATTAGTTTAGAAAGCGTCATATAAATGTACTCCTGTGGTGACACATACCGCACGACAGATCCCTTGCAGCCTGGTGAATATAATTCCTTGACCATCTTAAGATAAGGGTTAGAGTATCACGGTATCAGATTACATTAAAGGACTATCGTCTACTATACCACCACACACTTTTCAACCACTCGGCCCCAATTGAACCCACATCGCATCCATTCATCGTCACAGCCACCCTTCAAACAACAGCAATCACCCTCCTCCCAAATTCAACGCCATCACAACCTAAACAATCGCCCGACTTCCCAGCGCACACATACTCTCCCCAAGCCTGTCTTCATCCTTCTCTCCTCTCCTCCACCACTCTCTCCCCGAATCTCTCATGCTCCCCCTCTTCCTCCGCCTCTCTCTCCCTCTCTCTCTCTCCTCTCTCTCTCTCTCTCTCTCTCTCTCTCTCTCTCTCTCTCTCTCTCTCTCTCTCTCTCTCTCTCTCTCTCTCTCTCTCTCTCTCTCTCTCTCCCCTGTCCTTCACCACTCAGCTCACACCATCCTCCTCCCCAGCTCTCTCTCCCTCTCACCGTAGGTCGTATCGGTGCTCTCTCCGACTGTAGGTGTATGAAGAGTGGAGTTCTCCAGGACCGGGGACAGGCCCACCGTAATCAGACCCGTCCTCCTCCGCCGGCCGTTACCGTCGGCGCCAATCGGTTGGATGCGCTGCTGTGTGATCAGCGCTCGCTCCAACATAAAGGCAGACGCACTGCCTGCTGTCCACCCGGTTGGGGTTAGAGACACGCACACACGAGCGTCCCCGGTCACACAGGAGAGGAAAGGAACAGTGCGGCCCGGCGGACGGGCCGAGCCGGCGTGCCAAACTAAAACTGAGGTGTGCTAAATAGGAGCAAAACAGCGAACACCAACAGGCTACAGGCAGGGGCTCGGAGAGAGAATGAGCCAACAACTAAACGACAAAACCAGAGCACGAGGCGATAACTAAAACGGTGAAGTAACACCGAGCGAGCAGTCGAAACTAACAGAGTCAACATAAAACATCGATACAGATTGATACAGTGGCTCGGCTGGGCCATGTTCCGTGAGGGACACGAAACGATAGACGGGCGCAGCCAGACATCGACATGCTTAGTGTTCTGAGCGACCGAGTCGGATTCGGCTCGCGAGTCTGACTCAGAGAATGGCTGACCTGAAGGCGGCTCTTTGAGGCTGGGCCGGCGGATTTTGGTGCTACCCGCGCTCCCGGCGCTGACCCGTCGTTCGCACAGTGAGCTCTCGTCCAGGCGTTTGTCGTCACCGTACCTGGTGGAGACAGAGACGGAGACGGTTAGATACGGCCGACAAATACAGTCAGACGGCCAGGAAGGGCCGGCAGACGCAGTCAGAGACAGACAGCTGGGTGTGCTGATACAGAGACGGAGACAGAGAGGACCGACAGAAGATGAATGCACTAATACAGAGACGAAAGACGGTTAGACGGGGCCAGCAGACACAGTTAGAGACGGCCCTGTATTATCTATGCGATTTTCTGGTTAACATATTATAGTAACTTCCAACTCATGCTTTAAGGCTGAAACAGACTCTTTCCGCATTCAGGAAATCGCATGCGAGAGCCTATTCAAATACATTATAGTTCTTCCCGCAGCATTCGCATCCGGGAGGTGCGTGCGATTGATGCGAGCGTGCTTCCATGTATTTGAATAGGCTCTCGCATGCGATTTCCTGACTGCGGAAAGAGTCTGTTTCAGGCTTTGTACCATTTTGATTACGAGACGTAGAATAATTCACAATGAGGCCAAACGTTAACAACAACAATTTACACATCCAAAATACGGTCACAGCTGGACGTCTTCCACCCAGTTTAGGTCAGAATTATTGCACCCCTCCCCTTATGTTTCTAGCGAGTGACAGCATCAAAGTACCGGGTCGTGTTCCACATTAATATCCGGGAGGTGGACAGCCGTGTCTAAATTTGGCGAAGCCGCTGACATCATTGATTCCCCACACAGTGTTTCATGACCGGCGCGTTTTGAGTGACGTTGAGGCAGGTAAAACCATGTGACATTCAAGCACAGTGTGAGCCAAGCCAAGGTAGCGAGGCAACGTAAAATTTCAACAAATTCATAAAAAACATTATAGCTGAACCATTACGTTGATACACACTTTTTCTCACAATACTTTTCTACATTTTTCCTACATTTCAATTATTTGATTTTGCGGCAAACAGCACTCTTCTGATGGACGACCACATCTTATTCAGTATTGCTAAAAAACTATATAGTTTGCAGATTTCTTAAAAAGCAACAACAACAAGGCAGAAAAGTCTCAAGAGATAATGCTGATATACTGCGGTCTGCGAACGGCAAGTCCTCGCAGTCATGCCGCAAAAAGTAACTCAATAGACCAATGATCAACACAGTTTTCAGGATTTACAAGATCGGGTATCAAAGAATGGGTTGATAATCGACTTGAGCAAGCACAGAGTACCTACACCGATATTTCAAGTGCCCTCGAAGATTATCTGAAGAACGGTAGCTTTATATAGAAGCAATATGATTAGCACAATCGTTCTTTGGCCAGCTAACCCCAAGCTGACTAATAGAAACTCTAGAGATTACCCTTGACGTAGCATGACTGTACATATCAAAGTGCGCTTTTTGAAATTGTTTTTTATGCAACTCTCACAGACGTAAAGCTATTACGTTAGATAGCATATATGATCATGAGAGAAAAACAACAACTGGAACAGTGCTGATTGCATGGCGCGTGGTCTTCTCGTGATATCATTAGTGAACAGGAACGTGCCGCACACCACACACGAAGTGATTTCGTACTACAGTGTGCGTTACGAGCAAGACGACCACTGCCCATTTCAGACCAAGCATTTCGAACTCTTGAATACCATCCTCATAGTTCCGTCTTTTTCTCAAGTGACGTAGTGCATCCATTGTGTTTTCCATTGCCCAGTGTTTTCCATTGCCTCTCGTTCAGCCTTCTCTTTTCTAATGTCTAAAATGTCAGCCCCTAATCAAGTAGTGCCAATCCCTCTTTCGTCACTTATAGTCATACCCTACTGATTTTCATTGCCTGAACCCTTCTCCCTTCCTCATTCGTTATCGCATGCCTCCTCCCATTCTCCCCGTGACTCAAACCCTTATCGTCCATATCTCACTTCACATGTTTGTTTCCCAATCCATGCCCCCCCCCCCTCTCCTTCCTTACACTTTTCCCCGTCTTCAGGTCTCATCTCATGTTATCCCATTCCTCACATGTATATTATTCCGTACTCCGTAGTCACCTACGTCACCCCATTGCCTCTCCTAGTCCGTTCTCACCTAAATTCCCATTGTCTCACCCTATCGTCCAGCCATGTATCACCCCTTTGTGTCCCAAGCCTGCAACACATCACACTGCATCCCAAGCTTCGTCCTATTGTCCCTCTTGCTCCAGCTGTCTCACTCCTTGTAACCAGGGCTTCTCAATGTCTCCCCTGCCTCACTCCATCGTCTCCCCTGCCTCACTCCATCGTCTCCCCTGCCTTGCCTCAATATCTCCCGTGTTTCAACCAATAGTCTCTCCCTTGACTCACTCCCTGGTCTCCTGTGTCGCAACCAACTTCATCGTCTCCCCTTTCTACACCCACTGTCTCCTTTGTTTCAACTCAATAGCTGCCGTGTCTCATCTGTTGTCTCCTTTGTCTCACCCCACGACTATGTCCTGCCTGCACATTTATCTCCCTCCCGTGCCTCCCCACTATCTCCCGTGTCTCCCCGCTATCTCCCTCTTTCCACCCCATCATCTCCCCCTCTCACCTCGCTCCGCCATCCTCCATCTCTCCGTCTGCTCCGGGCGCTCCGGGCTCGGCACCGGTCCTCTGTAGCAGGCAGAGCTGCTCCTGACTAGCCGGCTGCGCGGCTCCGCCCGGCTGCCGGTAACTCAGCTGCAGGTTCGCACCGCCGTCCGAAGCGCGGCGACCGAACCCGCCGACTGAACGAGAGGAGAGCGAGGCAGGGTCAGAGGTGGGTCGTGAGAAGGCTAGAGGTTACAAGGGTTATGGAGGGACGACAGATGGTAATTATCAAATGTATGTAGAATGTCACACCAATTATGACAGACATTGCCGCAAAATGTTTTGATCCCTATCAAGAACGAAAAAAGCAAATCATCGTGAAAAACTAAAAACGCTTCTAAGAGCGACTTACACCACTCAAGTCACATCACATATCCCACGTCACCACATGCCACGTCACATTATATCACAACGACGCCACATCACATTCACATCACACTCATGACTCACATCACTCGTTCGCCCGTCACCGCCCACGCCGCGCCGGCCGGCCGGGCTGTCACGCTGACGGCAGCCTACCCCACGTGTGCGGCCCGGGACTGAACTGACCGCCGGCCGCCGCGCCGGCCCGCGCGGCTCGCCCCGGATGCCACCCAGACCGGCGGCGGCCGGCGGCCGGGCCGCACGCTGGCGGGCGCGGCGCGGCGAACAGACTCGCGCTGCGCTGTGCCGCCGGCCTCTGCTGTTCAGCTGTCTGTGCCCCTCCCCCAGCTGCCATTGCAACTGACGCTGCTGCTCCCGTTCTGATCTGGCCGCTGCTGCTCCCGTTCTGATCTCGCCGCTGCTCCCCTGTCCTCCCCCTGGTGCTCCCATCGCGGCTACCGTACCCTCCCCTCCACTCCCCATGCTGCTCTGCTGCAGGGAGCAGCGCTCCACAGCCAGGGGCGGACAGTGACACCAAACCCCAGCCTGGTGCACGGGAGCACAATAACGCTGCCCGCACCAGCCAGCCATCGAGTGAAATGTCACCGTCCGGGAGCCAGCACAAAATCCTGAGCGGGAACAGGACAAACATCTGACATTTTGAGCGTGGGATCATGATGAGCGCGGTAAAGGTCACAAAATAATGGTCATCAATGTTCGGTGCATGGCAGACGGGACAAGTCACGGCCACCATGACAACGTAAATATTCGCTTTTAACCAGATTTTACTGATATACAAACTGTGTCAAGGACGTTATACGTAGGGTGAACGAAAAGTTTTGAGCCTAACATAGTTATAGGTGACGCAGGTTAATGAAACTTTGGTCACATGTTTTGCCACTATTTATATGTGTGGACACCAAGTTGTGAAGTTCTAGCACTTTATTTTCTTACTTTTAAAGCGCATTGAATCATGGCATTTTTGTAAGCGCTCGCAGTGTCAATGACGTCATATTTTTTGTGAAGCGTCATTATTTCAGTTTTTCTTCAGTTTTAGAAGGAAACAGACACCGAAGGATGCCAATACTGGTCAAAAGATTTAATTTGAGAAAAATCGGAAGGTTCAGTAATGGAATTGACATTGCATCCCAGGAAAAATACGCTGAAGCATTGTCCTGTTGAAACATGACCAATTTTGTCAGCATTGCCGTTCTGATCTTCCTGATATTCTGACAAAGACGCATCCGTGGGTCGTCATAGGATTGCCCAATTACAGTAAGACCCTTTGAAAGGAATTGCACTTGCAATACATCTAATTTATTTCCCCAATTACGGAACACTTCCCTCCTTGTTATGACTGTGGCATTTAATTTTTCAGATGAGAGTAGCGACGTGGTTTCACCAACTCCACAGTCCCTCCAATTTTGGATTCTCCATTTTCACCGAACGGGCAATCTTCTTCACTTTGACGGGCTCTAAAATCGAAACAAGTGCTAGGACTTCAAAATTTGGTGTGCATTCATATAAATAGTGGTAAAACATATGACCAAATTTTCATTAACCTGCGTCACCTGTAATCGTGTAAGGCTCAAAACTTTTCATTCACCCCACGTATGTGGACTCATGGCAGCTAGACGATGCCTTCAACGCTTTATTGTTGTACTGATACGATCTAGTTATCAGCTGAGCAGTACGATATGCTCCAAAGTGTTTGTATCATTCAACCCACTCAGACCTCAGGCCTCTCTACAGCACCTAATCACTCTTTACTGCAGAGCACGTCCTCTCACATTGCTCTCACATGCCCAGATCCCGGTACAATTGAACAGCACAGAGCTCGGCTCACATTGCCATTCGACGTCTCACTCACTCACTTACTCACTGATTGACCCACTCACTCACTCACTCACTCACTCACTCACTCACTCACTCACTCACTCACTCACTCACTCACTCACTCACCCACTCACTCACTCACCCACTCACTCACTCACTCACTCACTCACCCACTCACTCACCCACTCACTCACCCACTCACTTAAGGCCGCCGTCCACTGTGCGGAACGCGTGCGGTCCGTACGGAATTTAACACAGAACCCTATGGGCGCATCCGGTCCGTGCGGAAATCGTGTGCGCTCCGTCCGGACCGCATCCGAACGGCAATCAGCTGTTGATTTTCCGTCAGCTCTCCGCATGCGTTTCGGATGCGGTTGCTACGGAGACGGAAGAGTGATGTCCGACGCGTTGAACTTTTCTGCGGAAAACGCATCCGGAACGTCCGGAACAGACGTGGTTTGGGGCCGTGTCGGAGGCAAACATTGTGAATTGTACGAAGAATTGGAACTCGATCATCATGAAGTAAGTAAAAATTATTTCCTTAGAATGGCAAGAGTATTCGCTGCTGGTTACTTGCAATATTTTATTTGGTAATAAGTGATAGGAAACATTTATTAGCTCTCCGCATCCGGACCGCATCCGGACCGGATGCGGCCAGCGTGCGGCGACATTCCGGACGGACTCCGGACGGAATTCCGTCGCAGTGGACGGCGGCCTTAACTCACTCACTCACTCACTCACTCACTCACTCACTCACTCACTCACTCACTCACTCACTCCTCCCTCGCCACTCTACTCACAGGCGCCGAGCACAGTGGGCGGTTTGAGCAGATGCTGATCCTTGGTGCTGAACCGCTGCGGTGGCTGGTGCTGCACCAGCGGCAGGTTCTGCGCCAGATTCGTCTGCGGCAGCACCGGGTACAGACGCGCCGCGCCGCCGCCGCCGCCCACGCCGGTCGGCACGCCGTAGCCCCAGGCGGGCGGAACCCCGAACGATACCTGGTGAGGGGGAGAGGGTTCCGGTGTGTTAGCGGGTGCGGGACAGGCAGTTTACGGGAATAGCGCAGAGATTTGGAGTCCTGAGGAAAGTGTGGAGGAGAGAATAGCACGCGCATCTGAAACAGCGCTGGTATTTGATGTCCTGGGGTGGATGCTGGGGTGGGGTGAACCAGGGTATATTGAACAGCACGCAGAATACAAAATTACAAAATTAGCGCCGATATTTGGTGTTCTGGGAGGGAGAATGTGGCGAACACTGGACCGCACGCGGTATAACGAAAAAAACGCTGATATGTGGTGTCCTAGTGTGGAGCGTGCAGCGCGCGGTATACGGAAATAGCACCGCCGCCCGGCTAGGTGCCTGTTCCGGCTGCACAGCAGTCGTGACAACACAATCTAATTGGCATCGCGTTAGGTTTCGGTATCTGATTTCGCCAGAATGCACGACTCGACAAAGCTAGTAATTACAAGTGATTACCACAGATAGGTGCTATGTAGCGAGGGTTGGAATAGGCACTGAGTGGAGGCGCTAAGATACAGTCCATACTTTGCTCATAACGAAAATATACATGAACAGGATCATGGTGGCACTCCTCTCGTGCATTTAGGATGAGATAAACAAAGGTATCAGCTATTGACCATTTGGAGGCGGCAAAAATAACGGATAGTTGGGGAATGGACTACGATTTATTTCGCCATTTATAGACTAAAACCCTGACAGATCAGATTATCAATAGATAAAAAAAAACGTTTCAGTCTCAAAAGATACAATCAGTTGGAAATCAGAACTTACACCTTCCCAAGGCTGCTGACAGCACCTAGCCCGTCCCCGCAGTTCCTGGACAGCCAGTCCCAACCCGGCTGCCTGACGCTGCCACGCGCAAGGATGGCTACCCGGCCGTGCGGCCGTGACAGCTCCACGAGTCGCGTAGGAATGCTAAACGCTGCAGCTGGTGACTAACAATGCAGGACCGCCCGGCGAGCCAGGCTGACCGTGTCCCCATCTACACTGCAGCACGACAAACTAAACATAGCAGCCGGCGCGCCAGATTTCCGCGTGCAGTCAGGTGTTGAAAGGATAACGGCCAGCATTTTCAGTGGCATTTGCGTACGATCACCGCCAAACAAAACAAACCCTCTGGCGTTCTCTATCAAATATGAGTGGGAACCGCTTCGCCTAGCGTTCTCGGCTAGGCAAAACTCTACAGGCGTTCTCACCAAAGTAGGCACTGAGTTACCAGGCAAGCTCATTTGGCTTCACACAACCTTCCTAAGCGTTCTCACCTTACCAAAGCTGTGTGCCTTGACGATAGTAACTGAATTTGTTTGAGCGCCGTCCCACTCAGCGTTCTACCTTAAGCGAGCGCCGGCTCTGCAGGTTTTCAATTGAACTTGTGTAAGCGGCAAGCGCCACGCCTCCCGGCATGCGTTCTCAGTTGAGTGATCGTTGCATCGGACAGCGTGATCACTAAAGCAAGTGGCTAAGTGTCGCACCTCCAGGCGTTCTCACCTCGCCCTCTGTGTCTCCAGCATTCTCACCTCACCAAATGCTGTCTCACGCGTTCTCACCTCACCAATCGCCATGCCTCCAACGTTCTCACTTGGAGCTATGTGTATACCGTGTCATCACCTTCTAACCTAGTCACCAAACACTGTCTCTAGCGTAATCTCACCTAACCTACACGCCGCATTTTAATAGATTTCTCACCTAGACCTGTGCGGGCGCCGTGTCTCCTGTCGTTCTTGCCGTGTCTTCAGTGTTCTCACCTCACCAAATACTGTCTCACGCGTTCTCACCTCACCAATCGCCATGCCTCCAACGTTCTCACTTGGAGCTATGTGTATACCGTGTCATCACCTTCTAACCTCACCAAACGCTGTGTCTAGCGTAATCTCACCTAACCTACACGCCGCATTTTAATAGATTTCTCACCTAGACCTGTGCGGGCGCCGTGTCTCCTGTCGTTCTTGCCGTGTCTTCAGTGTTCTCACCTAACCAAGCACCTCGTCCCCAGTCGCTCTCACCTTAACTTGTGCATGCGCCGTGTCGCTAGCCATTCTCACCTGAACTTGTGTATGCGCCGTGTCGCCGGGCCCGACCGTGTGCCGCCGCGAACAGTGGTACTGGTCTCTGTTGCTGGACGTCTCCTCCAGATCCAGCTCCAGGTGACGCTCGGCGTCCTCGAACTGAGGGACAGACACGTGATAGAGTCAGGGCGGATCATGTGGGGAGGGTCGAGTCGAGCAGGCAGACACGTGGTAGGTCAGGGCGGGTCAGATCGGGGTGGAGTAAAACAGGTTGTCAATGGTGGTAGGCAAGGCCAGTGTGGATATGCTGGGGTACAGCAGAGCTGCCAGTCCCGATTAGACCAAGGAAGGCCGAGCGATGCGAAAGGAGGGTCGGATTATATCGGGTAGAGCAAAGCAGGGCAGAACAGGGCGAGTCGGAAGGCACGATAAATGCACTAGTATCCGAAGGTTGGGACTTTTCAATTAAGACAATCACTATTCTTTAGAATTGTGATTTTCTATTGAAAATCCCAACCTGAGCTACCTCTCTAGGGGGGTGTTTAGCGTTTCTGCCGCGATTTTGGACATTTTGACAGGGAAGAAAACGGCACGGTAGAATTTCTTGCCATTTTCAGCGTTTGGTCCCGTGTGGGGGAGCTACCTTCTGGCAAAGTTGCAAAAAATATAATTGACACGTTTTGGGGTAATCGGCACGTGCATTTTCCCATAGGGTTGACATGGGGAAAAATTTAAAATTCGATTTGCGCAAAAACTCCACGTTAGAAATGAATGATATTTTTAGGGTCGAATCTCGGGCCGGGACCCCACCTCATGGTGGTAATTATTTAAAATATAAATGACAAAATTTCGGGTAATCGGGACGGATAGTTACCCCATGTTGAGCCTATGGCAATTTCGAAAAATTATATTCAAATCGATTTTGCAAAAAATTTCCACGTTAGATTTTGAAAATGTTCCAATATGTTGTGCCCCGGGGTGTCGGCTACCACATGATATGGGTCAGATATGGGGCGATTGAAAAGCACGTGCCACGTGCAAACGTGTTTGATGGGGGAACCTCCGGGAAAATCCGACATTGGCCAACTGGGGGTCCTATGGCGTGGAAACCACTCTACCTAGCGACACCAAATCAACGCAGCCGGTGAGCAGATGAGTCCAGCTTGTCGCACTAGTGGTCACGTGGCGCACGTGCTATTGCACGTGCCGTGGCACGGGGTCAATTTTGGTGCTTAAATATACTAGCATTGTAAAATGCAAGGAATGGGGGAAATAGCCGTCAGGCCGTCAGATTTTATGATAGGGTCGATCTGAAAACGGGTGTAGGCACAGAATGAAGGAGGCTAAAAAACTGCTATCTCGGATTTTTTGTAAAATGAAAAATTTAAAATTCTGGGGAAATTATATATTCGAAAGGTGAAATTTCCCTAAATTTTCCCGTTTTTCGACTTTAGCCGTTCACTGTTCAGGGACGGTGACACCGGCCGGGGTCATCTTTTATATGCTGATGGCCACGTCGATGGGTCATCACGTGGCGTGAACGGTGAAGCTATCAAAGGTCCGGCACGTGCCACGTGGCCACGTGTTTGAGTCGCGTACCTCCCAGATTATCGTGTGTTTGCCGACTTGTGGCATTATAGCACGAAAACAGCACCAGTCAGGAAGCCTGTAATGGAACAATCGGTGAGGGGACAAGTCCTGCTTGCACCACCGGTGGTCACGTGGCACATGTAAAAATCTGGGCACCTCCGTTGCGGAGATATTTTATAGTGAAATATTGAAATGTACATAACTTTGTAAGTATAAGTCCGATTGGGCTAGAATTTGGTGGGTGGATGAATTGTTAAGCGACGTGAACGAATGCGCCATGTTTGTTGCAGTGCGCCACGTTTGTCTCAAAGCGCCATTTTTGCCGAAAAGCGCAGAATGTGCGTAACTTTGTCGAACATTGGACGATTAGGATGCGCTGTAATACAGGGATGGCTGCTTAAACGGTAGATATGAATGCACCACATTTGCCGCAGGGCGCCATATTTGTCTTAATGCGTCAGTGTTTGCGTTTTGCCTACGGCGGGCGTTTTTTTGCGGCGGTGTTTGCGTTTTTTCGGTGTTTGCGTTTGACGGCGGGCGGCCGTTTTTGCGTTTTTGGCGGTGTTTGCGTTTGGCGGCGGGCGGCCGTTCTTTTGCGGCGTTTTGCGGTTGGCGGCGGGCGTGCGTGCGTTGCGGGCGTTTTTTTGCGGCGGTGTTTGCGTTTTTGCGGTTTTTGTGTTTGGCGGCGGGCGGGTGGGCGATGCGGGTGTTTTTGCTGTTTGCGTTTGGCGGCGGGCGGCCGTTTTAGCGGCGGTTTGCGGCGGGCGGCCGTTTTTTTTCGGCGTTTTGTGATTTGCGACGGGCGGCCGTTTTTTACGGCGTTTTACGGTTGCCGGCGGCCGGCCGTTATTTGCGGTTAGCGGCGGGCGGCGGGCGGTCGTTTTTTGCGCCGGGCGGCCGTTTTTGCGACGTTTTGCGGTTCGCGGCGTGCGGCCGTTTTTTGCGGCGTTTCGCGGTTGGCCGCGGGCGATGCAGGCGTTTTTTTGCGGCGGCAGTGTTTGCGTTTTTTTGCGGTGTTTGTGTTTTGCGGCGGACGCGCGTTTTTTGCGGCATTTTGTGCGTTTCTTCTGCGGTTTTCGGCGGGCGGGCGATTGTTTTTTGCGAGGTTTGCGTTGGCGTTTTAGGCGTGCGTTTTGCGCGTTTTGCGGTGTTTGCGTTTGGCGGCGGGCGTGCGGTTTTTCACAATTAAAGTCCCAACCTTCGGATCCGCAGTGCTGTTCGACAAGCGCTGCCCGGGCCTACAGGACGTAGGAGTAGGTCATAGCAGCCGAGTCCAGGTCAGAGCAGGCTGCGAGTGGCGAATGAAGCAACACATACCACGTTACGTCAGCTCAGACTAGAGGCAAGACATGATGTATGAGACGATGTGGCTACTGCCTAGCCCGCCCGAGCCTAGTACAGTGCGATGGGCGCGCCCTCTATCCACCTTCCCGTCGGGGCCCATCCAAAGCTCGGCGAGCACTGATCGATTACTGTCCCACGTCCACATCCCCTACGCAGACGTACAATATCCACTGTCACTCGCGCTCAGAACGATTCTGAGCACCATCTCCAACAACAGCTATCATAGCTGTTATCCAATACAGCTCAAGTAGGGATCACGCAGTAAAACCAATAGTTTTTTCCTCTTCTTTCTTCCCTCCTCTCTCCCACCATTCGTCCCCTTATCTGTCTCTTCTTCCCTCTTCCATTTCTCTCCCTCCTCTTCTAGTCTAGCCCACCTACCTGTCCCTTGTCGGCCTCTTCACTCCATATGGAGGTGAGGACCTTGGGCAGGGCGGGCGCCGCGGCGGCCGTGGGCAGGAGGGGAGCCGTCGCCGCCTGATCACACAACAGGTGATAGCAGGCGGCCAGGTCGTCGTACAGGTTCGACTGTACAGACTGCGAACGAAGGGGGAGGGGAGGTTAGGAGGTTCGACTATACAGACTGCGAGCACAGAGGGACCCTTATAGGGCCGCCAAGTCGTCATACAGGTTCGACTGTACAGACTGTGAACACTGAACGGAGATGGTAGAGGTCATAGGCCATAGGCCTGCAGACTGTGAAACATAGTAGTGGAAGTGATGGGGGTTTGACTGTGCAGACTGTCACCAGAGAAGAGGTTAGTGGCGTTCGACAGTATATGTAGGCTGCGAACAAAGAGGTTAGGAGTTCGACTGGACAGACGTCTGCGAACGCAGAGGGAAGGTTAGGGGGTTCGACTGTACAGATTATGAACAAGAAGGGTAGGAGAGGACGGGGGTTTGACTGTAGAGACTGTGAACGCAGAAAGGTGGGAAGGTTATGCATGGGGTTTGACTGTACATATGGCGTGGGAACGCAAGGGTGAGATGTTATGGTGGTTCGACTATATAGTGTGCAACTGCAAACTGCGTAGACTGCGAACACAAAGAGCAGCGGAAGTTATAGGGAAGCGACTGCATTACTGGATATAAGAATACATGAATATAAAGACTACATGAATACAGTAGATACAGAATAAGGATATATTAGTTAACTATTATATCTGCTGTAGACTGTAGCTGAAACTATCACATTCTACTTCCCTGACAGATCTTTCCCCTATCTCCCTCTCCCTCTCCTCCCTTCCCCCCCCCTCTCTCTCTCTCTCTCTCTCTCTCTCTCTCTCTCTCTCTCTCTCTCTCTCTCTCTCTCTCCTTTCCCTCCCTCTCCCTCTCTCTCTCTCTCTCTCTCTCTCCCTCTCCCTCTCCTCCCTCCTCTCTCTCTCCCCTCTCTCTCCCTCTCCCCTCCTCTCTCTCACCTGCTGGACCTGCTGGGCCGTCACTCCGGGCAGCTGGGCTATCAGCTCCACCACACTCTGCTGTACAGGCGGCGGCTGATCGAGGTCGGGTCGCTCGCAGAAGGACACCACCCGCTCTGCCTCGTCTGGGTCCAGGTCCTGGGTGACCCACCGACAGCGCAGCACCTGTGGTATGCTGTAGCGCTTCTCCGGGTCGACTGTCATCATGTGTCGGATCAGGCTCTCGCAGTCTGCCGGAGAGCGGAGGGGTTAGAAACCTGGTGTTTGACAGTAGTCTGCCGGAGAAGGGAGGTTAGAGACGGGTGAGGTGGTGCGGTCTTACAGTAAGAAGCGGTGGTGTTTGACAGTAGTCTGTCGGAGAGAGGAGGGGTAGAAACGGCTGAGGCGGTGCGGTCTTGAAGTGAGAAGTGGTGGCGAGGGACATAGTTGAAGACAGAAGTCGAGCGAAGAGGTCAATAGTTGATACTCCGTATGGAAGACAGCATAGTAACCGCAGTTTACCGTTACTGTTTATAATTAATTTAACAGACAGTTATTTAATTGCACCTAGGATGTAAATGCAGCTCAGTAAAGTGCAAACTGTGATAATACTTATAAACTATGCAATTTTGGTTACAAAGCATGAATAACGTATGCATAAGTGATGACATATAAGTATGTAAGACATTCCGTCTGTAAAACCAACTGCAATCAACTGCAGCTTTACACATCAGACGATATTACAATAGGAGCCGAGTCTAAATGACAAAACTTTCCGCAGTTAAGTGCATGGTACAATACACACGGAGTGCGTCTCGCAATTGTCTATTTCAAGACCGGATAACTGCGTCCAGACAGAATTACATCAAATCCCATCCCTCCCACGCACGCAGCTCCTGCGTAAAATGTCGCTGCTCGGTCGCAGGGTTTTACAGCTCGACCAGACACCCCCACAACGTCTGGAGACACTCTCCAGAAGCTCTCACCACTTCGCCGAGTCTCACCTGTGCTCATAAAGTAGGGAATCCGGAATTTTCCGGAGAGAATCTTGCCCCGCAGGATTTGTAGCGTATTGCCGTCGAACGGCAGAGCTCCGCAGACAAGGACATATAAAACAACTCCCAAACTCTGTCAAACAAACGAGCATAGTCAGACATCGGGTAATCACACAATAAAACAAACAAAATCACAGTACCAGTTGTCTGCGTAAGTTGGTAGCTACAGGCAAAATAATTAGTAGAGTAAAAAGTTACTTTCTAGCATTGATAGCCACGCGAATTTGAATGGACCGTTAAGTCAATTTGGATAAAAATAAATGTCAGTCAGTGCAGCGATGAGACATTACAGAACAAGTAGGGAAACCAAGGAATACGTGTCTATTTTGAGCATCACATTGCCAGGAATAACCACCGTTCACCACATCGCTTTATTCGATAAGCAGGACACAAATGTCAAATCACTACTGTGGCTTCATTTGCCTCTCTACAGTTTCCGTCAGCCACTGGTAGCTTACACGACACATTCAGTGGCGGTTCTTGAGCCATTCAATCTACAAGGGCATAAGATCCGTGGCCGCGAACCGAACGGCAAGACGTACAGAAACTCGGTCTAACTTCCGCTCTCTTGTAAAAAGGGACGAAGTGGCATAATGTGCCAGCATGAGCATGACTCTGCTGAATATTTAAGTTTATCTTAGGTCAGTTCCAGTAATCTCATAGTTAATGCACACATAAGATAAACACTATAGTGGACTGTCTTATATACTCGTAGGTAGTCAGAACTAAATAAACACGCCTGTCAAACCGGCCGGATTCTCGTTATTCTGGCGACCCCGGCGCGTGTACCCGATCAGACACATGTCAGCGCCTGCCTCAATACCCTAGGTGGTCGCCCGGATCCGACGAACAGAGTTGGCAAACTGAACGTCTACTTTGGTCCCACGGACTGTCCGCGAGTCCGTGCTCCTCACTCGAGGCACGTCCATTATTAGCCAGTGAAGATAAGTATATCCGCTGCCATAACGCCGGCTTGTGGAAGAGACGTAATCGGAAAAATTATCTTCCAGCGACTTTTGATACAACGGCTTTCATTTACCTAATGTTACTGTCAGCCACCTTTGGGACGGATTTTTTGCCTTTCCGGAACACAGGTTGCTCCTAATAACGTGTCGCATCTGGTGCACCAGCTAGTTTTATCCGTACGAGTCAATGGAAATGGAATTCTGAGCGTTCCTACAGGAACAGCGTCCCTGGTTAATACAGCGAATATGCCAACTCTGTACAATCCTTTCTCGTCATGGGATTATATATTCCCGACCGGGGCTGGGAAAATGCGTTTTATTCACCGAGGTTTTTGTGCGGAGGACCGAGTGCCGGTAGGCACGAGGTCCGTAGCCAAAAACCGAGGTGAAAAAAGAAAAAAATTGCATTTTCACAGCCCAAGGTTGGGAAGAGATTTACCACATGCCGTACCGGCGCAACAGTTAATATCATATTCATTTGATATATATTATTATATTCTTAATATTGTGTTAATATTATATTAATACTATGATCATATTTATAGTCACCGTGATTATCTTTTTGTGTTTTTCATTATTGGGCTGCGTTGAGTATGAAAGATGAAATTTCCTACTTCCCCCTTATTTAGGGTTTGAAAAGGCTGAGGATGAAGATTGTGAAGCGTCAGAAGTTAGAATAAAGATATGGAGTCCACTTCCAGCAGGAGTGAGGAAACCGTGAGGAAAACTGAAAATTGGGTGAACCGATTAATCAAACGCGTCTTGGATCCCAGCTGGAACAATATCAAATGTTTCATTGTGGCTTGTTAAGATGCTTCGCGCATTTAAAGTGTTCGTTTTTTGCGTGCATTATGTTGTAATAAGTGTAATAATCAGTTCGCTGACCATGTTCTGCAGCAATAAATACACTGGCATTTGAACGATACCTATACCCTTGTTTAGTTGAATTACGTTGACAGCAAAAGTAAGTGAAAACGCAGTCACTTAATTTTGCTCACTTCTGCTGTTGCTGTTAGTGAACACACAATCCGTAAATATCTTCTTTGGAATTGGTTCTTCCGCTCAGAATATTCAGTAAAATTTTGTCTGGGAAAATCAAAAAGCCCTAGGGCCGAATCGTTTCCCAAATACCTTCAACATTAGCCGAGGCGGGCCGAAGCCATTTCCCAAATGCACGTGCTAATGTTAAAGGGATATCTCGGCATGTGGTAAATTGTCACCAAAAACATCATAAACTGTCATATAGATCACTCTATCATTACATTACAGACAATTCCTCATTGGTCCTGTCGCACTCTATACGCCTACCCTGGACTCATCACAAACGTCTACACTCCACCTGTTAAAATACTCACCCATACGTCGGCCTTGGGTCCGTCGTACTCTTTTCCCTCGAACAGCTCTGGCGCCGCGTACGGAGGACTGCCGCAGCCGGTTGTCAGCGGGTCCGACTCGGAGTAAAAGTTGCTGAAGCCAAAGTCTGCAGACACAGAGAGGCGACATTAGTGGCCCAGTTAGGAGCGCAGTACCGGGATCAAACACAGTCAGATGCACAATATAGGATCATAAGCTGCTTATGAATGAGCATGAAAACACCTAACAGGCCAAGCTCAGGCCCCTTCGGCCGTTACCCATTTATCAAGCTCCATAAACCGACCCCGTTACCCATTTACTCGTCCCCGTGCCGCATCCATGATTATCCTGCTGCAACACAAGCCACATATTACCCCTCTCCAATACACTTACAATACAATATGCAATACAATACAATACATCATGCCATCAGTGGCGCGGGGGCGGCACGTACCGGCCAGTTTAATGCTGTCCTCGGCATCCAGCAGCAGGTTTTCGGCCTTGAGGTCGCGGTGGACGACGTTCTTGCGGTGACAGTACTGGACGGCGGCCAGGATTTGTCGGAACCATGGCCGCGCCTCGGACTCTTTGAGTGGCCCGTTGGCGACCATATGATCTGAAAAAGGTGGGGGATGGTAAGACGGCGGAATCTTTTAGTGGCAGGATGAAATATGAAGGAAGGACGGGGTATAAGAGACCTCTTCCAGGAGCCCCTTCGCGACCATATGATCTGAAAAAGGAGGGAAGGTAATACGGCGGACTCTTTTAGTGGCAGGATGACAAGTGAAGGAAGGACGGGGCTAAGAGATAACTCTTTTAGCCCGTTGGCGACCATATGATCTGAAAAAGGGAGAGGGGAAGGTAAGGGGTCCGTCGGCTGACATGGTGTGAAATAGAAGGAAACGTGGTAACTGTGAGAGCGTGGACTCCTGGCGGTCAATACAGGCGGTAATAATATGACAGGGAATAGGGCGGTATGAGGGTGAATGGACTCTTCAGCAGTTCGTTGGCTGGGAATAGAAGGAGGGCGGTAAGTGAGCCTTTTTCAGCGGTGCGTCGGCCAGCACGTGGTCTGACGACAGGGGGAGGGCGGGGAGAGAGATGATGCGATGAACGGACACTTCAACGGCTCTTTGGCTGTCATACGATCTTAGAAAGAGAAGGGGAGTTCAGTTCAACGGGCAAGAAATGCGTACAAATATAGAACCCAAAGATTGTAACTTTTTACCGTGTGAAACGCGAATAAAGAAGAAAAATCAGTACAATATGCCGTATAACCATGGCAGTGACTAGTTTGCGACCGTTGGCAATATCAACCGAAAGCCACTGAACGTATCTCTTCGTGGATAAGGCGACACATGGCAACAACATTGGTATCCACAATATCCCTCTAAATATGATACGATTGATCGTAACTTGAAGTGTACAGGTACCGCTAATGTAGTTAGGCTATTGCGTGTATGTGCTCAAGCTACATAGCGCTGTAACATACTATCCATCCATTAAGGGCTCCGTTTTTGTTATCCACCTATTTCCTGCGCTAATGAAATGGATGGCTGTGATGAGCATCGTTATATATACTATGTAATACGAGAAGTAGTAGCCTTTGCTCATATTAATGTTCAAATAATGCACAAAATTGGATATATTAAAATAATACTGATATTTCGCCTTGCGGCATCATCAGAGTACACACATACAACTTTAGGTTTAACAAAATGCAAGAAAGAAAGAGACACGTGCGACTTTACCACGGGAACAAACGCCAGCCGATAGTCAAATCTTGTCCTATATAAGAACATTGGAAGAACCTATAACATACGTTGACTACATTTTATACATATGATAACAAATACATGTAACAGTACGGTAGAGCGAAGAACAAACACACAACAGCAATAGGAGACGATGTGCAGACTGCAGAGGCCAGAGACCTATACCACACACCATGTCGGTCAGACACCAGAGGGCTACCCTAGTAGAGGCCATGTATCTAACTGATTGTTCAGACTGGGACGCCTGTCCCGAATGGCCAGAGCCTCTGCTATCTTTCTGTCTGCTGCTAACGGCTACCCACCCCACTGGCTTGACGGGGTGGCTCGACAAGCTATACGTCAGCACAAACACCCTAAAAAGACAACAAAACGACCACAGAAGAAAGACAGGATATACGTTACCCTTCCTTTCATAGACGACACCCTGACTAGGAGAGTAGATGCTGCCCTAAAATCAGTCAATCCGAGTCTCACGGCGTCTTGGAAGAACGAGAACACCATCCAAAGACGCCTTGTTCACTCGGCGTTAGACCCACCTCCATGCCGCGCTGGAAAGCGTTCATGCCGCACGTGCACCAATGGTCTGACGGGTCGGTGCACCACTAAGAACGTGGTGTACACAATCACGTGCACCATATGTGCTGACTTGGGAGGACCACCGCAAGTCTATATCGGTGAAACCAAACGGTGTATCAGATATAGATTCGATGAGCATTTCCGTGACGGCGCGAATCGCACTCGGCAGACCCCATTCGGTGATCATATGGAACAGTGTCACCCCAATGTGTCAGAGCCACGGCTGTCTGTCTCCATCATACGCCGGTGCAAAGATGCAGCAGACAGAAAGATAGCAGAGGCTCTGGCCATTCGGGACAGGCGTCCCAGTCTGAACAATCAGTTAGATACATGGCCTCTACTAGGGTAGCCCTCTGGTGTCTGACCGACATGGTGTGTGGTATAGGTCTCTGGCCTCTGCAGTCTGCACATCGTCTCCTATTGCTGTTGTGTGTTTGTTCTTCGCTCTACCGTACTGTTACATGTATTTGTTATCATATGTATAAAATGTAGTCAACGTATGTTATAGGTTCTTCCAATGTTCTTATATAGGACAAGATTTGACTATCGGCTGGCGTTTGTTCCCGTGGTAAAGTCGCACGTGTCTCTTTCTTTCTTGCATTTTGTTAAAGCTAAAGTTGTATGTGTGTACTCTGATGATGCCGCAAGGCGAAATATCAGAATTATTTTAATATATCCAATTTTGTGCATTATTTGAACATTAATATGAGCAAAGGCTACTACTTCTCGTATTACATATTTCCTGCGCTGTTCAAATCAAAGCATATCCGTCACAGCGGGGGTTTTCCCCGCTGACTGGCCAGTCGCCTGGTAGACAAGTCGTCGCCGGCGACATCGACCGCTTCAGGATAGCCATTACATAACATACAGGTACGCACGAGGTCTCTCTGCCTATCAACGTGTTCGCTCAGTAACATGGGTATAACGGACTGTCAGATCTGAACAGAAGCGGCAAAACACAGCGACTTCTGCATGTTTGAGGTAAAACATGATGCGTAGGGCAGAGAAGCTGCAAGGGAGAGCACAAACCTAACGTAATACCAAACTCCATTTCGCGACGAGCAGCGGGACAGCCTCTCAGCACTCCGCATAACAATTTACCTCAGCCAGCTCAGCCGACGTAACACAATGCAATGCATTGCAGCACCACAGCACACACAGCAAGGCGTCACGAGTAGTCTGATAGTCATTGATCCGCTCTGGAGCTCACGTCATAGCCCGCTATAGCGGTCCGGGGCCCAATTGGTTAATAACTGCGCGCGTCACGAGGCAACGCGAAACATAAAATACTCCACTCGGCGTATACTTAGTAGCCGGTCATCCTCCGTTGTACTATTTTCGGAGTGGCTGCATGTCGGTAAACGACTGGCTATTTTGGACGCAGACGTCAGGGCATGAGTGCCAGCACGAGACTTGAACGGGGAAAGGCTCATGCGCCAATGACTGTAGCAATGAGTGCCCCGCCGCCGGCTAAAATCACGTGAGCTTGGATAATCGCGCAGGCGCAGGGAGTGCTAACTCGGCTACATGACGATTATTTTTAGCCTACTATGTTTAGCGTTCTTATTTCATTCCCCGCAAATCCAGTTCAGCATTGTGCTTGGAAAAGTCGAGTGCTGACCACATATCAATTTCCGAACGCCTCTAAACGTTCTTATCTGCCAAAATATCATCCCTCAATATAAAAATCATCGTAGCAGGACAAGTCATCCCCGCTGTGCTTTGAAGATTGACAGCGAGCAAATCCCAACACTGACATTCAAGATATCGTGACTTTTCGGTATCGTGCGTTATAGCGTGCATTATATAATCGTGCATTCACTGCATTACCATGACCTCTACGCAGAAATAAAGCTACAGTTTAGAACAATCTTCCAGAGTACTTGCCAGTCTGGGACAGTGCGAACACACTATCAGACAGCTAGTAATCCCAGTCGTATCCAGGATCGAACTAAATATAGCAGCCACCTATACAACAACACCAAACCAGAGATCTATCTTAGCAGCCAGCAAAATTATGACACCCAACTTTGACTTCTAATCTTGTCTCATACGATTCCCGACTTTTGATAAAACAATGTTCAGGAATCTTACAGGCGAGGTGTTTCCGGCGCCGTCTCTCGGGTCACTACACGGCAGGGAGCGACACGCTACCCAAGATAGCCGGCACCGCCCGCCCCAAACAGACACTAGGAGCAGTAGACGGGGAATATCTGAGAGTGCCGGCCGCCGCGTCGGCCGTCCCAAGCCGTCTAGTATCGTACCTTGGTGTGCTCGGTGTCCAGGATGGCCTAACCGATGGCATGCATAGAATATGCGCCGATAACATTAGTGTTCGGTCTGTTTTAAATGCAATAAAACCACAATATAATGCCGCACAATGCCTTTTCAAGAGCATGTTGTAGTCGAGTATATTCAATTGCTCTTATAATTACATTTGTTACACCAAGTCCGGCAGAAAGTCGAAGAGCTAAACGCATACAAATCCTCCACCATATTCTGGCATTGCATCTGACTGTTCTGTATTGCTATATAATTACCCCAAAAGTCCACCCTTAGCCAAGTATACGTCGAATTCAACGAGCAAAATACCTTTAGAGGTCCTAATAACGTTCCGAATGAGAGCAGAGCCGTTATGGTGAAGGTCAAAGCTAATGGCACGGTAGAACGTCAGCCGGTTACCCAGAAACGGCGCCGTTCGGGCGACTGATGCCTCTGGCCGGGTCGTGTAAATAGCACGCGGTGGGGTCTGAGCCGAAACTCAGACCAGGCCATAGTCCGGCGCTGCCTCAGAATCAGAGATACCGAACAGAGCGAGCTCACCGATAGCGAACTAATAACGAGGTGATGGACACAACGCCTCACTGAAACATTTAGGCTACCGTAACACAAAGACTCTGCTGCCTGCTCTCGATTTTGGATTTTTTGGAGACTCTAGATTTTCATCCGACGCTAGACTTGGGTGAAAATCCAGTAGCATGTTCCCCACATACAATGCCCCATCTGTTGACTTTTTGGTAAAGGTCAAAGCTATTGGAACAGTAGAGCCTCAAACGGTTACCCAGAAATCCGACGGTATCATCCCAATTATTGCTCCATCCATACCAACTATACATACCATACCAACTATACAATACATTTCATCATCCGGTGGTGGTTTCACTCTAAATTCTAATCTAAATTCCAAAGATACAAATATTCGAAATATGAAAATACCGGTGCGGCATTCATATCTTGAGGTAGTACACTTAGCACCAGCAATTATTCCCCTAGACGTCAACCTCAGCAAATACTATGGTAAAATACCACAGCTCGGGTACGACATTGCCCGTCTTTGCTGCAAATACCTATCGAGCGACGCGCCACTTGTCGAGCTGACAGCTACCGTTTCAATCCCAGGTGTACTTCACCGGCGCTGCCAGAAGTTACATAAGCGAGTGATTTATCGCTGGCTGGTGCTCGGTGCAACCAGTAGCGACACCAGTTTAAGGTACCCCGTGACCGCCGACACCACCAACCGTTACCCGTCGGCTGCGGCCCGAGTCCGGCCCCTGGCGTCACGACCGCAATGAACCCACAGCTGAATGGATCTCCGCAATGGACCCAGGGCTGAATGGGTCTCCGCAATGGGCCCAGGGCTGAATGAATCTCCCCAATGAACCCACAGCTGAATGGATCGCAGTGGACCCAGGGCTGAATGGGTCTCCGCAATGGACCCAGAGCTGAATGGATCTCCGCAATGGGCCCAGGGCTGAATGGGTCTCCGCAGTGGACCCAGAGCTGAATGGATCCATCACTACGTTAGATGCGCTAATGTACATTCACCCTGTCACGCGTGCAACTAATAATCTGCATTTTTGTGTCGCAATGCTCAAAATCAATTATGTATAATTCACATACACAACGGCAGGAACACTGCAGTACCGCAACTATGGTGATCCACCGAACTTCACAGGGCTTCAGCCGGTACAGTGCGCCGACGGCTAGCGGCAGGCAATTCAATGAACCGTTCTGCTGTATGAAGTAGGTAGGTATTCGCTGCTTATTAAGAGAAATATATTGCTGTAAATACACAAGCCGCTGCTGCATTAAATAGATGCTCACGTTGTCAAAATATTTATCAGTAATGTAGCCAGCGGTGCGGGTGGGATGTCTATACAAGTAAACAATGCATCAAGCACGCGGCTATTATTCAAGATTATTCATCAACAGATAAATGAAATACGGTTGCAATAAAAATGCTGACCATTGAAATCCTCTGACATCAGCTGGGAAATGATTATCTAGCCGGACGGGCCCGCTGATGGCAAGCGTTGGAGGGTCAAAGCGCACACTCACCAAAGATCTCCCCTTTGCTGGCGTACTCCATCACGAGGTAGATCATTTTCTCAGTCTCCATCACCTGCCGACCGAAAGATCAGTGGTCGGCGATCAGTGGCTAGTGATCAATAGTTCGCGACCAGTGGTCAATGGTCACAGGCTAATGATCAGTGGTCACTGATTAATGATCGGCGGTCAGTGTTCGGTGGTTGGTGGTCAGTGATCATTGATCGATGTGGTTATTGGTTAGTGATCAATGGTCGGTGGTCGCCGATCAACGGTCGGTGGTCCGTAGTGGGCGGTCAATGGTCGGTGGGTGGTCAGCGATCAATGTTCAACTGTCAAAGCATAGTGTTGGATTAGCATTGATCAGTGCACTGATCAATGCTGATCAATGCAGTGGTCAGACACTAGAGGGGTTCAGTGTACTGACCAATGGTCAGGGCCAGTGGTTGGCGATCAGTGGTCATTGCTATCTATATCTGCGATCAACAGTAACATAACATAAACAGTTTGGCATCTGCAGTGGCGTGGTCAGTGGTTAGAGGTTCAGTGGTCAAAATCAGTGGCCAGTGGTCAATGATCAATGACGTCAGTGGTCGGGCGGACAGTGACGGTCGGTAGCCAGTGGTCAGTGGTCAGTGGCGGTCGGTAGCCAGTGGTCAGTGGCGGTCGGTAGCCAGTGGCCAGTGGCGGTCGGTAGCCAGTGGCCAGTGGCGGTCGGTAGCCAGTGGTCAGTGAGGGTCGATAGCCAGTGGCCTATGGCGGTCAGTGATCAGTGACAACAGTAGTCCGTGGTCAGTGGCGGCCGGTAGCCAGTGGTCAATGGCGGTCAGTGATCGGTGACTTGCACCAGTGAACAATCAAAAGCAGAGACCTAACCTTGGGCACCATAAGCAAACTGTGACCCAATCCACACAAGTGGCATCTCACATAGGCAATGCGAGCCAGAATTGGACACAAAAATGTTCACTCACTGACAGGCCAAAACAAACTTCTCTCAACAAGCTGGTTTGCAAAATGCGCACCAGCTACCAGTAAAAAGTATATATAAAAAAGAAAAACACGAATCACTGTTATAAATATGGTTTGCAAAATGCGCACCAGCTACCAGTAAAAAGTAAATATAAAAATAAAAACACGAATCGCTGTTATAAATACGTTATATAATAACGTGAGCTGGCGTAATCAATCAATTGCATGACCAAAGGATAACGAAAATGTCAAATTATGTAGTGCCCAGATAGCTATCACCTAGCGCGTGCAAACCATTGGAACTTGAAAAACAATGGACAGAGACTAGCTAGCGCCAGCCCAAAACGTACCTGATATAAGCGAATGATGTGAGGATGCCGGAGAATTTTCATTATCTTCACTTCCCGCATAATCTTGTTGAGGTTGTCGGCGTCCAATTTCGTCTTATTGATGATCTTGATGGCCACCTGAATGAGGAAAAAGCAAAATCAGACATCGGTTTCATGGTTACATATGGTGCACCTGCACACGATAAGCTAATGTTACACACCATGATACAGCCAACACGTTTTTATTAAACTTAGCTCGAATATTTTCGCTCGAAAGTCGAACACTAGATGAGCATACTAACAGAGCCGCACCTACGCCAAGCAGAATTTGTTTCGTAGTTACCGATTCCAAACGTCCGATCGTGCAACTCCTGGCATCGGGAGGATTAGGATGCCAAAGTTTAGCATGACCATCAAAGCCGGAAAAGCTCGTCTGACTTCTACTGGTTGATCCTGCTCCCATCAGCCCCAACCATACTATAATCATGCCACGGCCGCAACCATCCCACCAACCACAACCTTATAGTCAGAGTTCTCATATACTAGTATCGAGCGCCGGAGCAACTCGAATCCAGGCTCTCAGTAACCAAATGAGGGGTCGCGGGCAAAATTGTGCATCGTCAATGTCCGTATGGCGAATGGCGATAGGTAAGGTTAGTTAATGTTCGGTCACGTCAGGTCAAGTTAGATCAGGGCGATACGTACTTTGGTTCCCACGAACTTTATTGCCTACGTACTTTTACACACGAACAGTTTCGCAGCTATAACTTATGTCCTACGAGCTTTTGAGCAAGAACTGCTTTGCGCATGTACAGCCCTCAGCAAACAGCGTGGTAGGCATTCTTCTTTCGACAAAACTGAGAATAACACGAATACTATGCTATCGGTCACTCGGAAATCGTAACAGCAAGCCGCGTGAAACTCCGCACCTTAGATTGGACTTATCATCATATTCATTTCCCATTCAGATTGACAACAAAACCCAAAAGTTTATATTTGTCCCCAAAACAAACTGTTGCATTTTGTTGCCACAAAAGGCGTAAACTTTGTTAGTGATAGACCCAATGGAGGAGAGGAGCATGCCGCATCTATGTATTTGCAATGTGTTCCGACCGAGTCACTGATAACATAGCCTCTGAGTTATTATCGGTTTTGTCGAGAAAAAAAAATACCTACCACGCATTCTGCTGAGGGCTGTACTTCTGTCCTACGTACTTTGGCGATACGTACTTTTGCTCGCAAATCGAACTCAGCTGTGACAGACTCTAAACCAAAATGTAAGAGTCGATGGCTACTCCCTCATTAGCCAAGTCACCTCACCTTGGCCTGTGTGATGATGTGGGTGGCCAATTTGACCACGGCAAAGTTGCCCTTGCCGATGGTCTGTTCCAGCTCATACTGGCCGATGCGGTAGAGTTTCTTGGAGCCGGACACACCATCGCTGATCATCGGCTCCTGGCTCATGGCTGCTGGGCGGCGCGGGCAGCGAGCTGCTGCAGCAGCGGGGCAGGGGAGAGGCTCAGAGGCGGCCGGGAGCCGGCGCCGCCATGCCGCCGCCGCCGCCCGACCTCAGAGCACCCGCAGAGAGCAGCTGGCCACGGCAGGGAGCGCCTACAGACCGCAGCGGGTGGCGCAGGAGGGCGGCGGGTGGGCCGGCAGCATCAGAGGCGCCCCGCCGGACCAGCGGCCTGTGGAAACGGAACACAGAGTCAGCCAGCTGTCACCCATGGCTGTATGTGAGAGCCAGTCTAGAACTAAAGAGAAAGCGTGCACAGATATCACCATACCTTACCTCACCACATCAGAATTTTTAGGTAGAGTCTAAGGTACCTATTCTCGAGTTCCTGGTATTCCTGAGTTTTGACTTATCAAGAATCAATGAAAATCAGGTACCATGTACCATAATTCATAAGTAAACCTAATGTGCTTTAACTTGAAGCAGCTGAGCAATGAGGCGCAGACCACCTCAGACAAGTCAGACGGGGATCAGTTCCAGTCATTCACAACTCGTACAGCAAACAAGGAATGCCACACCTCAAGGTTTTTGAAGATTTCTGGATTTTAATGGATATCCACAAGTAATAGCTCTGTCAGCCAGTGTGAAGAATATGCTGAGTTTTACAGTCAGTGCAAGATAGTAACAGGATAAGAAATCTGCTCTGTTAAAGTAAAATTTGGGCTGATCAGATGTTACTGCAACCATAAAGCAGTTGGGGCAAAAACCAAGGACCACATGGTCACAATTGTTTAAGCCTGTGGGTTGAGGGAAATGCTGGTACTGGAAGCAATCACATATTGCCATCAGGAGCTAGTGAAAATTATTTGAGGCTGGTGCAGAATGGAAGTTACTGGCCTGATGACTGGTCAGTATGTGGAGGAGTTAGGCCTCCTGCAATATCTAAGTGTGCAAATTGCAAATCGTTCCTTAAAATAATAACTGAATTTAACAACACATTGCTTTGCACTCCATCTGGAACAGCATCCTGTTTTAATCTGCCTCAGACAGCACACTGAATTATGATACAGATGGCCTGGGAACACTCAGAAAATGATAGCAGGTGATGCTCACATTCATTAATTTATTCCTTTAACTGATACAATTCAACAACATTCATTCACAACTGATATGGCATGGGGTAGCTTTAGGAAAATATCAAATGCCTATAAGTAACTCACAGTGACCAGTGTTGAGTGTGCTAGGATTAGAAAAAAGGGTGAACAGTGACTCATAGTCTGCAACAACATTTCTCTTTGGCTGATTAAAGAAAACTTTCTCATGCTTCTTATGAAATCCATTTTTAACATCAAATTTGATAAGTTCAAGTAACCTCCCATGTCTAGCTATTGTCATTGTTCACATCGATTATTCTGAATGAGATCAGGTAGCCGCATACAACTATAATTCTGTTGTTTCTCAATTAACAAATTCAATTTGATCCGTCCCTCAAAACTGAGATGATTTATTTGAACTAGTTCCATGGGGTGAGTTAGTTCCAAGGGAACACATTCCAGTGAGCACTAAGTTAACCTCATGCACAACCAAGCATGTAATGTTTTACTTTATTACATGTAATGTTGTGCGATGTGGCCGTGGGTATAATTATTCTCTTTGAAACCATCCAATAATATTCCATTATCTCCAGGAGACATCAACATGTCAATGTCGGAAGCAACAAGATGAGTACGAGGGGAATACATTTCTCTAACAAAAATAGGTCTCAAAATGCATCATCATAAGTAAAATAAATATGAAAACTTGAAGAAAAAATGAACAAAAGCCAATAAGCAGCAGCCACAAAATATTCCAGATTGTTATTATATCAATTTTTCTGAGCCTGCATCTTACTGAATAAATGTCACTTATTTCAAGGAGCTTATAAAACACCAGTAAAGATGGCATACAGACAGGAGCCCAAGTAATAGACAAGACTCTGAATTACATGAGAAAACAACTTACTGTTACTAGTCTAAATAATCCACTGCGAAAAAAACCAAAACAGAACATCCAGCACCCCCTCCGGCGATCACACGCATTCAACCACTCATAACAACATAACCGGAGTTTCGAGACAAACATGGCGCAGCTGCCACAAAACTGTAGCTACCAAATTTGGCGAAAGTATTTCCCTACCTAGGAAAATTGCATTTCTTCATTACAAGCCATTGCTACCACCGTAAAATAAATCACATTTTGATGAAACATATATTTTAAAATTTAATTTACTTCTAATAACTTGCATCTCGGAAGGAAAATATTTAATAAGTAGGCCAGTTTCAGTTTCACAATACGCCAATAAAAAAAAATTAACAGCTGATTTCACTAGACCGCGAAGCAGAAAACTTCAATTTCGGTGCAGTTTTGTTGATTGAGCCGCAGCCCGCAGCCCAGCCGCAGCCTTGGAGCCGCAGTTTTCGAATTATTGGTTTTTTCACAGTGTATATAAATATATGATTTTTTAAGGGATTCAGTTTGGTTCGAGTTTGGTGATATTGATTACATGATTTAGTCCGTGAAGATTGAAAACTCCCGTGGTGGTTAGAAAATGTTTGTATCTCTCTCCCATCATGGACATGAACGCAGTTGTGTTGGTAACGTAGGAACTGGTTTTTCAAGCGCTAGTCAGCATTGCAAGCATTTTGGATTGTCTGGTGGTGTCTTTGCTGTGAGGAATCAAGCCTTTGAGTGCCTAAGCAACAACAATTTACCAAAGTTGGCTCATCCGCAAAACTTCCGGGTGAGGAAGTTAAAGACCATTCACCGTGCACACCACTGGAACTCCAAAAGTGCATCCAAGCTTACGGTGACAACCGCTGACATCGAAGTTTTCTTCCGTTTACTAGGTGGGTTCGGTAGGTGCATTGACAATCAAACCTCAACGGTGGGCATTCCCTTCTGAGTTCTGACTCTGCTCCTGGACTCTGCTTCTGACTCTGACTCCTGCTCTTTCTGACTCTGCTTATAGGTAATTGGTCATTTTTAAGTCAGATCGAAGGTCAGGTCACTAGAGGCCATTGAAAGTCAAATTTTGCCTTTTCCGATAATCTTTGACAAATCGACGCATATTTTGGAAACGAAAAGAGCACCGACCCGGCGCGGGTTAGCATGCAATACTCGTTCGTTACCGACCCGGCGCGGGTTAGCATGCAATACTCGTTACGGGTCGTTATGAAGGTCAGGTTAAGGTTAAAGATAAAATCGTCCACGAGCCCCCGCCGCTCACCAAATGACAGCCCTCCGCCTCCCCCCCCCCATGCCTCCCGCAGAGGACAGCGTGGTGGCGGCCTTTCTCGAGAGAGACACGTGTCGCCGCTATGCCGACAAGTACTTGGTCGCCATGGTGTTCACCTACTTCATCCGCGCCAACTACAGCTGGCGCCAATACACCCGCTACAACTTCTTCGTCGGACTGTGAGTCGGGACTGGGACTGTACTGTGAGTCGGGACTGTGGCTTAGCCTGTGAGAATTTGTTGGACTGTGAGAAGTGCGCCGGTCCCCGTGCACCTGCGGATTCAGCGATCCATTTGACGCGTGTAGCTAAGGATGTGTTTTTGGATGAGCATATAATGACGCTGTTAATGTTATTGAAGAGTAGGGGAGAGTGGGGTAATTTGGCCGCTTTTTTTAGAAAACGATATAACTTAAAATTGACGACACATTTCTGCATTTTCTCAACGCTGGCAGGTGTCGCATTCATTTTACTTTACTGGACAGTGAACTTGAAATGATAGAGTAATTACTTATATTGAAATTGTGACGTATTACAAAGGTCTGCAAGGCGGCTAAATTGCCCCACTAGTAGGGTTATTTGGCCGGGGGTGTGGGGCAATTTGGCCGGTGCTAGTTTGTGGTCGGGATTTTCTGTTATATTGCGAGACAGCTTCAGATTCAGCAATGACGTGTGTCCTATGACGCATTTGCCGCATTTTGGAGGTTGACTCAGGGGTCACAGGGGTCAAAATAGCCAAATTAGCGGCTCTAGATGCGATCACAGTTTTTTTTACGAATAACTTTTGAAGTAATCAAGCTAGGCCAAAACTTCGAGTACCGTAGTAATTCTCTCGTCAGTCCGCATCGAAAGATATATGTGTTGACCTTGAGAAGTCAAGGTCAAAGGTTGACCTCAGGTCACGTTGTATCAGGTCGCTTGACCTCAAGGTTACGTGATTTCAAGGTCATCATGCATATCATTCGATGCGCCTTGGCGAGCTGAACAGAATGAGACCATTTGTGCGGCTGTACCATTTTTATGTAAGGATTTATTAGCAAAAAACCTTTGGTAACCTTTGATGACGTCACATGCTCTTACAGTTGACCAATCGAAAGCAAGGCATCGAAGTAGTCAAAGTTGGTCATGAATCATGTCATTTATGGTACAATTGACCATGAAAACTCGGCCGTCCCAGCATAGTGACCATGAGCGCACCGGCCAAGTTGCCCCGCTAGTCCCGGCCAAATTACCCCGTATTGCCATTCTGAAAATTTTTGTCTATAAAGTCATCACGGCTATACGGAATTAGATAAAATTGCTCTTGGAACCGCTGGACACCCCCAAGAATGGCGCTATAATGTCTGAATTCGTTTTGAGCCCAAACACTACATGTTATACAACTTTGTAAACAGAAGTAAAAGTTACAATTTTCTAATGAAATTAACGTTTTATTAATTTTGAATAAAACTACGAGGGGCAAAGTTTTGACATTTTTCCTACAGTTATTTCTACCGATGACAAATGAATAGAGACTAGAGTTATTTCACTCACTTTTATTAGACATCGTACAGGTGGGGGCGGCCAATTTACACCACCGGCCAAATTACCCCACTCTCCCCTACCCGGTCAAGTGTTATTATCCCGCACCGAAGCCATGGTGTTACATTTAAATATGTAACAACTAACAAGTAACAGATGTTTCAAACAGCTGAAACAGCTACTAGATGTTTACCAATTTTAAACATACTGGCTTGGTCTTATAGCGCAAATTCAGAGCACCGAAAATGATTTGAAGTTCAAAAATTCCCTCTTTTTGCTCATCATCCAATTACCAGAAAAGGGGCACAACTTTATGGGGAGGTAGGTATGTACTGAAAAGCCATTTTTCGTCTGGTTTGGTTTCTTGTAGCCGGTGGTCCCGTTCCAATGCCGGCATTCGGCGCAGATCAGTCCTGTGGTCGATATGTTATCGCTCGTTATTGCGGCTCGAGCCGACCGTTCGGCCGGACCCGTCAGCCACTTTTAACGAGCTCCGTCGACGCTGTATCTGTACCTGGTGTTCACCTCGGACTCCTCAGACACCGCGATGAACGTCCCTTGTGTGTCAACTGTCACCCCTCCTCTACCTAGTTTGAGTCTGTCCTTTCTAGAGGCTGGAACACAGCTTTCACACGTTCAAATCGCGTCTAAACATCTTCCATTATAATACATGGTATATTTTCGTTTTAATTCGTAGCGCATTGCTACGCGTTAAATTTGGGAACATATTTTTTTATATATAAATTTAATCCGAACCTTTTGAAAGGAAGGATTCACAAGGACAGAGCCACCGCTAAGCGAAGCTTGTTGCGGTGACCCTGCCCTCTACCCTCCGATCGCGCAATTCCGGTTCTATGGCATAATTTAGAGTCCAAAGTTAAACGTGCGCACATAGCCACGCACGGCCGGTCCCCTCACTGACTTCGCATGGCTACGGCCTGCCACCAACCGCAACCATACCTGTCAGGGGGCCCATAAATGTCAAGCGCCCGTCGTGCATCGAACCCGGACTGTTATTAACCGGGAACGCGTGCTCTCACCACGCGGAGTCCAACGCTCTACCAACTGAGCTACGGGACCAGCAAAAATATGCTATGTATTTTAATGGCAGGTGCTCAGACGCGATTTGCATGCTTGAAGGCTGTGTTCCAGGCTTAATGCCACTTACTCGACCTGCGGCCACATTGACAACCGTCGGTCTCCTCCACTCACCGAATGATACCGCCCCCGTCTACTGACGTGACACCGCTGTCGAGCAATAAATGACACACCACTATCGGCCACCGAATCACACCACCTTCTGTCTGCCGCTTGTCACGGTCTTCCGTACGGCGACCGTCACCACTGTATCTGCTGAAAACCACTCCTCTGTCCACCGCTCGTATCGCGCTCAGTCCACTGTGTGTCACCGTCTTCCGTCCACCGCACGGCACCGTCCACTTTCTACCGTGCGTCACTCCCCTCAGTCCACCGTGCGTCACTCCCCTCCGTCCACCCGCCACCGCACGTCACCGTCCACTACGTCCACCTGCGCTAATCCACTCAGTCCACTTGCGTCACTCCTCTGCGTCCACCGCACGTCACTGTCCTCTTTCCACCACGCGTCACCGTCCACTCCGTCCACGACGCGTCACCGTCCACTCCGTCCACCGCCGCACTCCAACAACCAGATGGGACGCTCGTGCTGACCAGCGTTGCTATCAGGTAGCTCGATTCGAGCACATGAATCAATAGCTCAATCCATTACGAAGCTTTGCAGTCGTCTCCCCCCTCCCCACCTCGAAAAGCCGCCATTATAAAGATGTGGCGACTCGAAGATCGGCTCCGCGCGCGGCGAGCCACGCCGGTTGAGCCGAGCGCAGACCGTCGGCCGTCTCCGGTCTCGGAGTGGGCGATTTGGGTGACGTCTGCGGTTGGCCGGGCTACGAGGCACTGCACGGGTCCACGGGAGTCCCCTTTATCTGCGCCCGTGAGCAGAGAGCGTCACTGCGTCGGCGGATAAGGCTGCTCCGCTCCGATTGCGACGAGAGGTGTCCTTACGCTGCCTTCCGTGAGCCGCAGAGCACTTCGCACGACTGTCTGTGTTGGGTCGGATCGGGTCGGTCTGTTCAGTGGTTACGAAGTATCGTGCTGCTTTACCAGTAAGCTAGCAACAGTATGCGCAATGCACAGTCAGTCTCGATACCGCGCATCGGTGCGGTGGATCCTAATCCCGGCAGAGGAAGGGCTGCTAGATTGGAGAGTCACCAAACCAATTGACATCCTCATCCATCCCTTAGGTCAATTGGTTCGGTGACTCTCAA